CCATTGTCGTTGTGTTTTGGCTCTTGTCTCACCCGTTTCATTCGTTCTGCCATTTTGACAGTTCGCGCCGTCCTTCCCGCTGCTGCTGCTGCCTGCGTTCCCGCGCGTTTCATGGTAGGACCAAACAAAGCAAATGCAAATGCAAAAGAATAGGACGACGAGCTTTGTTGGATGGTTGATGCCCCCATACTCACATCCTTCTCACCCTGCTCCGATTGGCTTTGATCGTGTGAACAAACAGGCCTCTGGCGCTGCTCCGGCTGCAGTTGCCGCTTCCCAAGTGGCTGTGCAGCAACTTGCGCCTCACTTCTCGGGCAAGGCTGTGGTCGATGGCCAGTTTGTCAACATCAAGCTGTCCGATTACCAGGGCAAGTGGCTCGTGCTCTTCTTCTACCCGCTCGACTTTACGTTTGTCTGCCCGACCGAGATTATCGCATTCAGCGATCGCGTGCAAGAGTTCCGCAACCTCGGCGCCGAGGTCGTCGGTGTCTCGGTCGACTCGCACTTTTCCCACCTCGCCTGGATCAACACTCCTCGCAAGGAGGGCGGTCTTGGCAAGATGAACATTCCCCTGCTTGCTGACATTACCAAGAGCATTTCTGCATCCTACGGTGTTCTCCTCCCCACCGAGGGCATTGCTCTCCGGTAGGCCGCCATTGATTGAATTTTTGTTTGTTTCGTTGGTTTGAAACTCGCAAACTCACTTCCCCCCCCTCCTTGCAACTTGTCTGAATTCCACAGCGGTCTGTTCATCATCGACCCCAAGAGCAAGGTCCGCCAGATCACCGTCAACGATTTGCCTGTTGGCCGCTCTGTCGACGAGACCCTGCGACTTCTCCAGGCTTTCCAGTTCACCGACAAGCACGGCGAAGGTATGACAGGCTGATTTTGTCTGTGTGGTGGTGCAGATTAGATTCAACTTTTGGCTGAAAACCCTCCATGTTACTCTACAGTTTGCCCCGCTGGCTGGACCCCTGGCAGCAACACGGTACGATTGTCGAATCGTCGCACCCCCCTCTGCCCACCGACTGTCTCTTTTTTTTTTTTGGTTGTTGCTCACTCGTGTTCATTGTTCTATGCTCAGATCAAGCCCGACGTCAAGGCCTCCAAGGAGTTCTTCAACAAGGCTGCTTAAAAACAAACAAAAAAATGTCGCCTCTTCTGCGATGGGAACTGGTTGTTGTCGTGGCACTATTGCGCTCTGCAGTTCACATCAAGTCGACACAAATACAAAACTGATGCACAGACCACACATGACATTGCAAACAAAACAATCCACACACTTCATGGACGTGTAATCAAAAGTTCTACTCATGCTTGTTCAGACTTTGAAAACACAGGGCGAAGAGCTGGCACTGCAGCTCGTAAAGTCGTCTGCCAACACGGGAATTGTCGATTGAGGAAGCGCGTACGGGAGGTCTTCGCCCTTGAGCGGCAGAGTAAAAGCTTGGCTCCACAGGACCTCCACTTGGAAGGTCCAATCACTGAGCTTGCCCCGTGCCCCGAGATACCACTCGGTAATGTCGGAAATGCCACCAAGGGCCGCAACCACAGTGGTAATCTTTGAATCCCACGTCACCAACGGCGAAACGTACGATCCGTTCAACAGCATGGACTCGGTTGTGCCAAAGCAGTTCTGACCGCGCTGCGCGGAAATCATGTTGTGGAGCCATGCAAATCCCTCCGGCTGGCTCGCGAGAATGACTGGGAAGGCGCCGTATGGGGTGACGAGCATGTCGTGGGTCACATTGTTGAAGGCAATCTGCTGAATGCCGCAGTCGGAAAAGTAGCCAGTGTCTTGGTCGTTGGTCGCAGCCCAGCCGCTCACCGACGCAAAGAGTCCGCTGATGGCGGGGTTCGAATTGGCAGAAAAGTGGGTGCGTGCACGCTCGCCATTGAGGAAGACTCGGTAGTTCGTGGGCGAGAGGACGTAAGGCAGCATCATGTACTTCCAGGTTTCGTGGGACGAAAACCACCAGCCTCGCTGGACGGTGAACGTGGCATTCGACTGCGGGATTTGCAAGTCCACGGGCTGAATCATGGGGGCCTTGTTTGCCCAGAGCAACGTGCCGTCAATATTGGTCAGACCGCCAAACACGTACATCATGATCACAAACAGCTCGCCTTCATAGGGGTCTGTCAGAAAGCAGTTGACACACGGGCCGGGCGGGAGGGAGTACGTGTTCATGGACGGCGGGAGGCTCTGGTTGGTCAGGACGGTGACTGCACGGACAAGACCGTTGCCGTTGTAAAAGACCCTGGCCGAGTTGTTTGCCATGGTTTGCCAAAAGTTTTCCCAGCGCGCCTGCAGCGGCTGTTGCGCGGGATAGCGATCGCGAAGCACTTCAGCGACGGCAAATGCGCCCCAGAACATTTCGCCATTGTCCAGCGCGGGGACTTTGTTGACGAAATCGTCGGTCGGGGTCAGCTCGCCATCGACGACGTACACCCACGGGAGAAACCCGGCAAAGCCCGGGTACTTTGCAGCGAATTTCTCGAGCGAGGTCATCTTGGTGTCGAGCACTTGGAGTGCCTCGTCGACCGAGTAAAAGACGCTGGCTCGCCCGTCACCCCAGAGCACGCGCGCCAGGATGGCCAGATGGAGGCTCTCCTTGCTCGCGGCTGTGAACTGGTGCGGGAGTCCGAGCGGGAGGCCTGTCTTGACGTCGAGTCGCTGGCCGTCGAGGGTGAGCCCAGTGAGCGGGTCGACTCCGGCGTGGCGCACAAAGTTGGCCTCCTGGCTGAGCCACTGCGAGACAAACTGCGCGCGGAGAGACGCGTCCGAGTAGATCTGGCTGGTGGTGTACTGCCCAGCAAAGCGGCACGCCGAGTCTGCAGCGACCTCCGACGGCGCGCCGAGCAGTAGCAGCAGCAGTGTCGCGACGCTCACCAAACCGAGCAGCGGCATCCCTGGCTTGACTTGCACCATCGTCAGAGGCAAGAGGTTTCTGATACAAAAATAGTAGTGAGTGAATAAGAGTGAGTGACCGAGTGCATGTGTGTGTGTGACGGGAGACGACCCCTTGAATGTTGGGCGTTTGTTGTTTGAGTTGTTGGTTGGTGGGGAAACAAAATCGCGCTACGTCACAATGCAAAGCCACAAGTCGATCCAAGTTCGGCTCGCCTCACCGACAACGCAACAATAACCTCTGAAAACAATAATCCAGAGCTCATTTTGTTGAGATAAAAGTGCTGCGTCGAAAAGAAGAGGAGAATGAAACGAAAGAACATTGAAAACGAAACGAATGGAAAACCAACAAAAACAAACCAACAACAAAAGCCTACAAAAATAAGACTGGGAAAAAAAGCGATGGGGAAAAATGAATCGATGAAGAGTTTGTGGGGGAAAAAGAAATAATAACAAGAAGTACAGTGAATAGCTCAAGAATCACAGGAATCACAAGAATCAGATAGGATGCTGCTCGAGTCGAACCGCATCTGCTCAGAACAGCTCACTCGTCCCCACCGCGGCGCGCATACGGCACGGAAGTGTGGTCCTTGGCAGCATTGCGACGGCGCTTCTTTTCGAGGAACTTGTTGAGCTGGCCAGACGACTTGAGCTGGTTGAACCGCTGCACAGCCTCCAACTTGCGCTCGTCGCCTGAATGGTCGCCAAAAAATGAGCATCAGCAAATCGTGAGTAGTTCAAGAACAACAATTGAAATCAACAAAAGCACACACACACCCCCCCCCAACTCGAGACGACAGAAAACCCTCAAACCCCGAAATCCACGAAACAAAAACTTACTCTTCTTGAGGAAGAACGGCGTCTTGCCCTGCTTGACCAAGTCTCGTTCCTGTCGGTTGCGCTCGGCCTTGAAATGACGGCGCTGCCGTTCTTGCTCTTCCTTGGCACGGTCTTGTTTCTATCGTGCAAGGAACCGACCGACGCAAACAACAAAAAGTTGGAATGCCGTCTTCTCCCCATCTTTTCGACTCTCTTCAGCAACACTCGCACAAGCAAGCTTCCAAAAAACATACCATGCGTGCAAGCGTAGACTTGATCTCCTCGAGCCGCTCGGGATTGCGTTCCTTCTTGGCGGCTGCGCTGACCTCCTTCATTTCTCGTGTCTTCATTTCGTTCACAAATCCGTAGCTCTTTTCAAACAGGTTGGCGTTAAAGTTGCCGCTCAAGCTGTCAAAGCGAGGATCGCGTCGCAAGCGGCGTGCTTTCGCCTCGGCTGTTAGTGGAACTACGTTGCGCAGGGTATCGACACGCTTTTTGGACGAGACTTCCTCGGGTCTAATGGCGAGGGAAAATGAAGGACAGGTAAGTGACCGACACAGACGAACAGCAATGGCGCGCAATCTCGTTGACATACTGATTCTTTTTGCGAGACCCGTTGTGGTCGCCATAAGCCGGTTCTTCAGCACGTCGCTTCAAGCTCTTGCCGAACGGGGCAGATTCCGCACGCGCTGGTTGCCTTTTTGCTGGTTTACGCTGCTCTTCATCATCGCTGTCGTCAGCAAGTGCGCCCGACATGCTGAACATTTTGTCAAACTTTTTCGCGCCAACTTTTTCGCGAATACGCTGAAGCTCGTCGAACGGGACAGACGCGAGTTCTATGACCAGGGAAGTGCAGTCAAGAGTGGTGAGTATACGCATCGACGTCAAAAACAAGGCAGAGGAAGTGTGTCTGCAGAAACCAACATACCTTCTCGGATCTTGGCCTGAACAAGGCAAGAACAAGTCCCAATGGTTTGCAAAATGCAGAGAAATGAGCAGCAGGTCTCTGGCGCTTCTACTGATCCTCCGCACACGATTTGTCCTCTTACCAATTTGGCCTGATCTGCATCTTCTTCGTTCTCATCGTCTGATTCTTGGTCGTCTTCGTCTTCGTCTTCGTCCTCGTCGTCCTCGTCGCTCGCATCCATCGCAGCCTTCCCTGGCTTTGACTTTGCGCCACTTTGTACCTTCTTGGTGTTGTTCTTGTCATTGGTGCCATTGTCATCGCTATAATAGTCATCGTCGGACATGTCGTCGTTCTCGCTGTAGTAATCGTCCTCGTCTTCATCCTCGTCCTCATCGTCCAGCTCGTCGTCTTCGTCATCGTCGTCATCTTGGTCATCATCTTGAGCACTGTCGTCTCGTTGACGCCTTGAGCTTGCCTTGGTCGCGCTCATCATTCTGGCTCGCGCGCGCATTCGCAGCTCATCTTCGTCCTCGTCCTCGTCCTCCTCGCTCAGATCGCTCTCGCCATCGTGATCGTCATCGTCATCGTCGTTATCTTGATCATCGAATGCTTGCATCCTTCGCATGACGCGCTGCGTGTCTTCGTCCTCGTCGTCGCCGTCGTCCTCGTGTCGCATCCGCCTCGGTCCAGCCGCTCGTCCCGCTCCAGCTGCAGCTGCAGCACCGCGTCCGCCTCGGCCAGCGGTTGGCGCCTGCTTGTGCTGCTGGTGCTTGGACCCCGCAGACGCCGTGGTGTTGCGGTGGTTGGCGCTCGGTCGGCCTGCCGATGCCACCATGCGGCTGCTGTTGTAGTTGCTCTGCTGATCCCGTCGAGACATGTATTGTTCTGTTGTGCAGAATCGAGAGTGAGTGACAAACTCCAGTAAATAAGAATAACAGGTTAATCAAAGAATAGAGAAGAGAACGAGAGAGAGAGAGAGTGAAGAAAGAGAGAGAGAGACGGACGACTGAGAGTCTCAGAGCTTTGATCTCACTGAGACGATCAGCTTCGTAAATCCAGTGCTTTTGCAGATCTACAAGTAAAATGTACGCTCATTGAACAAGTGCAAGTGTTTTTGTGTGTTTTTGCTGCTCCTTGTCTGAGAATTCTCGGTTTGTTTGACACTCCTTATTTTGGCTTTGCGTTTTCTAAGCCATCAAACGTTCGAGACCCAAATCAACCCCTCTGAGAGCCTCTCCTGATTTCTGTATTCATAACACAAGGAATAGAGACGAGATATGACGCGGTTTGCACGGCCTGGCAGGAAGACACATGTGGAGGCGACCTCGTGGACGGACCTGGTCAACTGTAAGGCACAAGGAACGAGCGACTCAGCCGATGAGGATGGATGATCCACAGCAAACTGTCATACTCACTTGTTTTTGGTGGTGGGGGTTGGGGTTGGGCAGCGGCAGAGCTCCCAAAGGCCGGTCGCGAGCACTACGGCGAGGATCCGAACGCACCGCGCCCAAAGCCAAAGCCAAGGCACCTCAACCACCCGACGACGACAAGCTCTGGCACCGATGCATCAGGAAGCGGTGGGATGCCGCCCAAGGCCACTGCGGACGCCGCAGACGCGCGCATCGTCAAGCACAAGAACAAGAACAAGAGCAAGAGCAACCTTGCCAATGCCAGTGCCAATGCCAGTGCCAGTGCCAAGCCGTCACGACTCGCCCTGTTGACCCCAGCAAACGACGCAGAGCCACTGCTCGCTTTCAACAAGCCGCCGACCGCTGCAGACATTTTGCAGACAATGGACGCCACCGGCGCAGACGCGGAAACCGCTGCTGCTACTGCCGCAGCGCCAGGCACGCAGGCAACCGATCTGGCATTCCCAGCAGAGGCGGCTCGCGAGCGCAGTGAGCCAGCGCAGGACAGTGCACAGCCAAAGCGACTGACGAGGCACGAGAAGGATGTCAATGCCAGGCGTTTGCGACGCGGTCTGAGCAAGCAGGTAAGCGCAAAACTACCCCGACGAAACCTGTCGTGTATTGGATGATGATGATGATCACGGTGGACTCATTCGCTTCACTTCATTTGTCGCTTGCAATCAGATTTGCTTTAACTGCCGAAAGAAGGGCCATTCGGTGAGCGAGTGCAAGGCCGGCAAGACGGTTTCGGACGCCACTGGCCTGTGCTATGCTTGTGGCTCGACCGAGCACACCACCAAGTCATGCCGAGTTCCGAATCCATCTGGTATGAGCGCGCGGTTGTTGATTGGTCGTCTCGGCTCTGAAAGGAGAAAGAATTGCGAGCTCACCGACTTTTTTTGTATGTAATGGGTTCGTGACTTGTTTTGGTTTGTTTGCTTGTCTCGTGACACGCTATAGGAGCGATGCCTTTCGCAATGTGCTTTGTTTGCAGAAAGACTGGCCATTTGTCAAAGTTTTGCCCGGACAATCCACGCGGCATGTATCCCGATGGTAACGTTTTTCACGAGCGTCCTGACATACGCGCCGCTCTCGTTGCTCTTCTAATCCACTCTCTGATTCTAGGCGGCTCGTGTACCCACTGCACATCTGTTCGTCATCTTGCGAAGGATTGCCCTGATCATCCCCGGCTGAAAGGTTTGCCACATTGCTGCTTTTTGACCAATTTCGTTCCGTGCAGCTCCTGCTCATCGGCGCGTGTCCTGTTTCGCTTTTTTGCAGGACAACAACCGCGCACATACACCATCCAAGCAGCAACAGCGCAGTCCAACCCTGAGGATGACGGTCTCCAGCTGTCCGCTGAAAAGGATGCAGACTTGTTTGTACGCGCTCCAGCCAAGGCAAAGGCCAAAACCAAGGTCGTCAAATTTTAATGCACTTTTTGGAGTGTCTTCACATGATACATTGTGGTGTGCATTCTTTGGCATGCAATACATACGGCGTTGTGTTGCGTACCAGCTAGATTTTGTCAGACAACTCGCGTTTTCGCTCAGTCGTGCTCGAATCCGACAGCAAGAAAAGACCTCGGCAAACAAACAAACAGAGACGGAAATGCATAGGACTTTTGTGCAAAGCAGAAACGTTCGTCCTCCGTGTACAGTTTTCATCCAGAGAGCTTCAATTACAAGAACAAGAAGCGAGAATCCAAAACAAACAAAAAAAGGGGGGGAATTGCACAATTTCATCCAAACAAAAGAAACTACGATCGAAAACCTCTTGGCAAGGTTATCGTCCAGTATCCATTGCTTTGGGAGCAGTGGGGGCAGCAGGTGGTCCAATTTCATGCAGCCGTCGAATATAATCACGGACCCATTGAGTGCGACGATCCTCCATACTTGCAAGCATGTGGAATCGCAGATCATTCTGACCAAAAATCATCCCATCATGCACGTTAGCAAACTCGAGCAACACCAAAAACGACACGAACAACGTCAAAACCACACGCTCCCTCCGCCCTCCTCATCCTCCGCATCTCAGAGCAACCGACTTACGGAAAGTGTTGCTAACAGACGCTCAAACTCGTATGGTCGAGCTTCGCAGGATTCCTGCGTTTTGTAACTAATGCTCTTGGTCTCTGTGAGAAGCTGCTGAAACTCCTCTCGACACTCATTCGAAACGAATCGAATCGCCTCGGCATACTGCGCTTCGAGCCTGGCAAGGCCGCTTTGCATTGCCGCCAATTCTTCGTCACTGGGCTCATCCACCACCAGGGGTAACTTGACCAGTCGCTTGAAATCGGTGTGTTGCTCAAGCAATGGCATTGCATCCGCGAGGGATGTGGACAAGGTCATTTCAGGATCGCGTTGCTCTGCAACGGCCGACTTGATGGCACCTTGCAACGTCTCGCGGACCATGGCATGGAACGCCTGCGACGACTGCAACACGAGGGCATCAACGCGCGCCTCAAATCGTTCTCGAAGGTCTATGCTGCTCAGGTTGCGGAAGAGATCCGCGCGGGAGTCTTGTTCCAGCAATGATTGAAAGTGTTCCCAAGTGATCTGTAGTTGCAAGCACGACAAAGTTGTTGAGCAACCATCACGAGGGAAGAAAATACCAGGATGGAAGCAAATCCACACAAAAAAGTCCTCAACACACACACTTACATCTGGTCGCCGCACTGTTTCCGCAAGCAAGGCATCGTACTGCTCGACAACTGCGTCAATTCGCGCAGACTGGTTGCGATCGTTGCGGCGCTGGGTCTGCAACCGCTCGGTGCGCAACTTGGCCTCTCGCTCTCGGATGGCGCGCTCTTCGCGCTGGCGTCGCTCTTCCTCGGGCGAAATCGTTTCCTTCTTTCGCAGCTGGACATACTCTTCAAAGTAATCCTCTCGCTTGGTCGCCGACCCAACTTGGTCGTACCGCGGATCACGACTCACGCGATGCTTGACATCCCACCAGCGCGTCCGCGAGTCGACATCAGGCAGCCCTTCACGAAGTAACGCCATGAACTGCTGCTTGATTCCTGCCGCGTCGAGCACACTAGCAGAGCCCTTGCTCGAGCCTGCTGATGAGGTACTGCTGGCAGCAGAAGAAGGCGCCTTTCTGCTGGACGACGAGGTCGAAGCTGCTGAAGATGCTGACGATGCTGCTGAAGCAGTCGCAAACGGATTGTCGACAATGACGCCGTTTGGCCCGGCCTTGCCCTTTCGCAAAAAGTCGACAAAAATGTCCTCGCGATCCTTGTGCTTGTCAATCGCCTTAAATCGAGGATCGCGCGCAAACTTGAGCGCAAAATCCGTCCAACGAGAGCGGTGAGTCAGTTTGGCCGCCAGCAGCAAATCGACAAACTTGGTTCGAAGCTGGGTTTTCTCGAGGGAGCGCTGTTGCTTTTGTTCGTCAACACGCGAAGCTAGCCAAGCCTCAAACACGTTGCGCTGGTCTTTTGCGGCAACGAGTGCGAATCGCGGATCCTTGGCGAGCGCTGCACTTTCCGTCTCCCATGTGGAGAAGATGGACACTTTGCGCTCTGCCAGCATCGCTTGGAACAAGCGCACGCGCTCTTCCTCGGTCATGGAGGCAGCGTCAAACACGGGAGAGTCCGTGTTGTCACCATCATCCAACTTTGGGCGCTTGGAGCTCCGGTTGCTGGCACCGTCGTTGTTGCTGTGGTCGTTGTCGACGTCGTCGTCGTCGTCGTCGTCGTCGTCGTGTTCATGCTCTCGCTTTTCCCGGCCTTCCCCGTCCACGCCAGCGATCGCAGACTGTCCATTCGCCTGCCGCTCTGCCTCGTCAAGTCGCGCCTCTTCGGCCATCATCATGTTCATGAGCGCCTCGGTGACCTCGTCCGGCTCGTCCCGCTCGGACTCTCGCGTGGCCTGGTTAAAGTAAAAGACGCCGTCTTTCACAGTGTGCACAACAATCCAATCGGTGCCTTCCACGGGCTGCGTGGATTTGATGCGGGCCTTGCGCTGCGCAATCTTGGCCGCTGCGCGATCGATCGCGTCCTCGCCACGGCGCTTGACTTTGCCGGCCTGTTCCTGCGCCTGGCGTTCGCGGAGCTGCAGCCACGCCATCTTGCGTTCCAGCATGGCGAGCTCGTCCGCTTCAACCTCCGGCGGGCACGTCCAGGTCGCGACGCCGGTATCCGTATTCACATAGTAGAACAAGCCATTCTTGCCCTGGCTGTCGACAATCTGGAAAGTGAGCCACGCCGTGTCGCTCTTCTTCTTGTTGTTGGTCTCAGCATGAGTCGTCTGAGTGTCTGAGACCGGCCCCTTTCTGGCAGCAGTCCGCTCTTGCTCTGCTTGCTCTGCTTCTCGTGCAGCCCGCGGGCGCAGCCAGGACGTCTCGCCCGTGATGGCGTTGGCATGGTACGCGTTTGTCAGCTTGGGTCGCACAGTCACTGCGCCACGGTCGTATCCGTCTGCGAACGGCGCCTCGAGCAGTCCTTTCGTGGCTGGCGTGACGCGAATCCATGCGAGGTCGATCGCAGCCTCGCGCGGGTCTCTTGTTCGGATGCTGCCAGCATCGGCATCGTGATGAGCACGGTTGACAGTGTCATCGTGATGATCACCATGATGATGATGGTGGTGGTCTGCTGCAGTGGACTCGTCCAGCATTGGCTCGGCAACATGATTGTCCTCGTCGTCGTCGTCGTCGTCCTGGTCGTTGGATGGATGATCATCACCATCACTGTCATCATCTTGGTCATCTTGATCGTCGTCGTTGGCTTGCTGATCGTCAGATTCATCATCATCGTCGTCGTCGTCGTCGTTGTTGGCCGGTGGCGGGGGCGGTGGTGGCGCGGCTCCGTCGATCGCACGGCTGCTGTCAAGCTCAAGGTGATCCTGATCGTCGTCAAAGTCGTCCTCGTCAGCCTCGCCGGGCGGAGGGGGCGGCGGTGGCATCGGCGGCGGCGGTGGCGGCGGCATTGTGACAACAAAGACTGAACTTCTCAGAAAGTGAACGAAAATCAATTTCAAAAAAGGTAAGCAACAACTTTATTACAATGTTCAATAAGAAAACGACAAGACGAATCGCATCGCATCGCAGACGCTCGGCAGAAGCTTAACAAATCGCAAAAAAACAACAACAAAAGAAAACGCTCCGAACAAAGTGCGCTCAACTGTCGCCTCCTTCGGCGATAAAGTCGAGCGCTGCTGCCCTCGAGACGCAATCAATGTACGACACCTTGTTGCGATGGGTCACGGCATAGACCTTGTCAGCATCTTTCAGCATTTCGGGCTTGAACGTCGTGGTCAAGAACTGCGCTCGGTCCGAGAGTCGGTGGATCATGGCTGCGACAGCAGTGCGATGCGTCTCGTCCAGCGCCTGATCGAGCTCATCGAACAAGTAGAACGGGGCCGGATCGCAGCGCTGAATCGCGAAAATGAGCGCAAGCGCCACCAGTGTTTTTTGGCCGCCAGACAGCTGTTGCATGAGATGTGTTTCGCTGGACTTGCCCGTGAAAGAAACCTAAATGATGACGGCAACGACAAGCTTGCAAAAGGTGAGCACGAGAGCAGATAAAGAAGAATCGGCAAGGAGGAAGAATGCAGACTCACATGAATGGAAACTCCGACATACGCCTCAACAGGGGGCAGACGGCGTGAATCGCCACTTCGCGAAGCTTGCTCGGCCTCGAGCTGGAAATCACGCGCAAGATACAGAACGGGTCAGGCGACGGCATGTTCCAACACACAACAGAGAAAGAAACAACCACAACCGAAAAAGCAACAAGCCACCTACTTCGCGTGCATCCTTGAGCTGCATGACCAGCTTCGCATGGCCGCCAGGAACAAGCTCGGCAAACACATCCGTCAGGTTTTTGGCGACCTGCTGGAAGGTCAGTTGAATGGCAGCGTCCTTGCGATGGTCCAAGCTTTCCAAGAGTTCCTTGATGGCCTGCGTTGACAGGATTGGTGTTGGACGTGAGCGTCGAGACTTCACAGAGCATTGCCGAGAAGAGAAACGGAGTGGCACACAAGAAACAACATACCTGATCGCCTTTGTCCAAGTCTTGCTTGCGCTCGAGCAGCATTTGTCGCTGCGAAGAAAAGTTCATGTACTGATCCACGGCCTTCTTGTTGACGTGGCTGAACTTTTGCAGGTTCTCGTTGCACTTGTTGAGCAGCTCATACAGCTGACGAGCGGGCGAGATAGAAAATTGACAAATCAAACAATGTCATTGTGAGCTTTCGTTTTCGAAACCTTCGAATCAACCAAAAACGCAACAGCAATCGCCTCGATCGCTCTCCTTTACCCGCTGCAACGGCGTCGTCTGGTAGTTGTCGAAAGCCTCAGTCGGGAGCGAACCAAGATCGCGAATCTTGCGAGTGCACTCCTCGCGACGCTGCAGCAGCAGGTTGCGCTTGTTGAGAATCTTCTCGATGGCCTTGCCCTCGCGGGCCAGCGCCTCTCGCAACACGCGCTCGCGGTCTTTCATCGTGTCGAGCTGCTGCTTGAGCGTGTGCTCCTCCTTGTTTTGGGTGGTAAGTGCGTCTTCCACTTGCGCGAGGCGCTCCTGGATGCGCGTCACTTGCCCGACGGTCGTTTGGTGGGTTTGCGTGGCCGTTTGGAGCAGAGTGTCGCGCTGTCGCTCGCTCACCACGCGCAGCTCGTCCTCCAGCGCAGCCCGTCGGCGTTTGAGGTTTTGCTGCAACTCGGACTCGAGCTGGGTCTTGGTTGATTGGACTTGCGTCACCGTCTCGTAGCTGGTCATGAGCTGCTGCTTGAGTGACTGGATGCTGTCCAGCAGGGAGCGCAGCTCTTGCTGGTCGGCGGCATTCAGCGTCGAGAGCAGCTGGGTGCCCACCTCGGCCTTCAACGAGTCAATCTGCGATGTCAATGTCGCCAAATCAGCCTCCAGCGTCGCCAGCTGCTTTTGCTTTTGTTCCAAGCTCGCGCGAGCAGCATCACGCGCTTCGGTCAATCCGCGCAACTCGAGGCGCAGCGTTTCATCCGAGTCGACCAGCTGTGGAGTAACCAACGATGAAAAACAGCATGAAACGTGAGAGCCGTGTGCAAGCGTATACGTTAAGCTGTTTGGGGCTGTTTGGGTTTTTTTGGAGAAAGGAATCACAAACCTGAGCGCGGCGCGTTTCGGATTGCTGAGTCTCGCTGGCAACCTTGTTGACCTCTTCGTCAGCAGAGGCAGCCATTCGTTTGAGCTGTGCGAAAGGAAAGAAAAAACATCGAAAAAGTGAACCAACACAGCCATCGACGAAAAAAATAATCCCAAAACACAAAACAACAAAAAAACTCAAACACCATCGGCTTTGCACTTGCCTTGGCCGACTCTTGGGACATGGAGTCCAGCTTGGACTTGGCCAGGCGCTTGGCACGCATGGCTTCGAGACGCGATGTGCGGACGTCGTGATAGCCGCCCGTCAACGCTCCCTTGCGGTGGGCCTGGTCACCCTCCAGCGTGATGCAATCGAGCTTGGCCTCGCGGGCAAGCGTAGAGGCCACGTCCATGGTGCGGCAAATCAGCGTCTTGTTGAAGATCTGCATGATGGCGCCCTTGAACATGGGGTGGTACTGCAGCTTGTCAACCAGCGGTAATGCGTCCTTGGTTTTCGGGTACGAGACTGGCTTTGGATCGAGTCGGTTGAGCGGCATGAACGTGACACGGCCAGAAATCTTTTCGGCATTCATGGCCGAGATGAGCTTGGACGCAATCTCGTCGTTGTCGACCACAATGTTGAACAGGCTGACAAACAAACACACAAAGCAATCAGACAAGTTTGCTGAAGCCCAAATGCCAAAAGCTCACAACGGCCTGTCCTTACCTGTTGCCGGCCGTCACCTCAACGCAAGTGTGGAAAACCTCCTCGCACTGAAACAGCTCAATCAGCGGTCCGTGAACGCCAGAAATGTTCTTTTCGCGAGCGATGCGCTCGATGGCTTCGATGGCCTGCGCCAAGCTCTTGCTCATTGTGCCCTGCAGGTTTCGGTCTGCCTTGGCAAAGTCGGCTCGCAGATTCTCCATTTCGGCGTCTTTGCTGGCATCTTGCTGCCAGAGGGCTCTTTGTTCAAGAACGATGACGGATTGAGTGAAATGGAATCCAGGAAAGAAAAGAAAGACAACACGAAACCGCAAACAGCTCAGAATGACTGCTGGGCTTACTTGCGACGGTTCATGGCATCATCGCGAGCTCGAACAAGCTCGGCGTTTCGGTGGCCGAGAGACTCGACTTCGGTCTGACGCTTCTTCAAATCTGCCACGCGCTCGTCAATCTCGCCCGACTGACTCTCAACTGTCTGGGAGAGGCGCGTGATGTCTGTTTTCATCGATGTAATCTGCAAACGTTCAAAGTTATAGACTCCAGTGAGCGCGGCTGTTGTGATGGAAGACGATATTGCAACGACTTGTTGACCGTACCGTCTTTTGCTTTTCTTGACGACTCTTGGTCAACGTGGCCAGCTCCTGCTTGAGCCAAGCATCACGCTCCTCCACTGTGGCAAACTGGGCACCGCGGCCTTGCTTGGCCGTCAAATCATCACGGCGACGCTGGCTCTCTGCCAACTGCTGCTCCAGCGCCTGTTGCTGGTTGAGCACGCTCTCGTACTTTGGCACAGTATCTCGGAGCTGCTTTTCGCGATCCGCAATCAGCTTTTGGAGCTGCGTAATGTCCTTTTCGAGAAGATCCTGCGATTCGCAAGTCAAACAAGAGGTTGTGAGCAAACAAGGCGCAAAACACACACAAATAAAAGAACTGCCAGTTGCTGCTCCTCGCTCTCGAAACTTGCCTTGCGCGTCTTGTCCGCAGCAACACCTTCAACCAAATCTTTGGCATCGAGCTCGGCCTTGGCGCGCGCCTTGATGGCCACCTGAAGATCGTCTTGCAGTCCGCGCTGCTCATCTTGCAAAAGGCGGACGTTTGCGGCAAGAGCCTTGAATTCGCGGTCAATCAGCTTGATCTTGTCGCCAACCTCGATGGCTTCGGCATGGCGTGCATGGTTGCTTTCAGACTCGGCCTGGCGGGTGCGTTCCAGCTCCTCGAGCTGCTCGCGCGTCTCGCGCAGCTCGCGCTCGTAAATGTTGTACTCGAGCCGACGGCGCTCCTTGTCCAAGAGCTGGTAGTCTTTGAGCTCGTTCTTTTCGGCTTCGAGCTCCTGGAGACGCTCTTCAATGTAGGCCAGCATCTCGTCGACCTTGCCGCGGCGCCCTTCCGTCTCGTCCATCAGCTTGACGGACTCTTCACGGCGCTTGTCGTAGACGCTGGTGCCAGCCACGTCCTTGAGGAGCTGCAGGCGATCGGCGTCCTTTTGCACAGCCAGCTTTGTGATTTTGCCTTGCTGCACAATGTAGTACGGGTTTGCCTGGGAAAAGCCCGCGCTCTCAAAGAGATTCATCACGTCCGACTTGACGACGTGCTTGCCATCAATGTAATAGTCGTCTCGCTTGATGCCAATCACTCGTCGCAACGTGACCTCGTCGCTGTCGATCGGGATGCGGCTGTCCGAGTTGTCAAAGCAAACCTCGACGGACGCGTTCATGGCCGATGCCGCGGATGCTGTGCCACCGACGCCGTCCTGTTGTATGTGAGAGAGGGTGAGTGTTGCGGTCGAGATTGGAAGCAGCAGAATGCCAAATGGTTGTTACATGAAGCAATTTCATGATGAATTGGCTGCGTGTCTCTTCCGCTGGCGGTTCAAGATCATTGAGCACGAATCGAATGGCTGAGAAGTGTCACACGGAACAAACCAGCAGCAGCAGTCGAGTGAGTGGGTGACTGTTCAAACGGAGCAAAAGCGCATTCAATGGCACGAAAACCATTACCCAGGAACAAGCTGCTCTTGCCCGATCCGTTGCGACCAACTGTGTGGATGAGAACAACAACAACGTCAATCCATTCGTTAGCGACACACCAACAAGCCGGCCGTAGGGGGCAAGCAAAAAAAGTGAAGCGAGGCCGCGGACTGACCAACAACGTTGTGCTTTGGCGAGAATGGCTCCACGATGGTCTGGTCGCGGTAGCTCATAAAGCCCTGCATGGTCACCTGGCATTGTGCGTTTTCAGACATGGAGTGAGTGAGAAGCCGAGACAAGCACGAGACGACAGAGACAGAATCAAAAGAATCGATTGGTGATATTTTGGCGGGAAAACTTGGCGTTTTTGGGTTGCAGCGTGTTGCAAGCGACGCCGCAGCGCAGCAGTCGAGTCAGCGGTCGACGCGCCGTCGTGGAGTGTGTGGGTCAGAGTGTGTCGAGTGCGCTGGTGCAGCACCGCAGCGTCGCTGGACCCGAGCGAGCGAGAGAGCACGGGGAGAAGGAAGAGAAGACGAAGAAAAAAGACAAAAAAAAAAGCGGGAAACTCAAATGCTGCATTGGTCCCAACGCTGCTATTGGAGTCGGCGTGTCGGCGTCCAACGCGAGATGATGATGATGATGATGATGCCTTCGTAGTGCTAAAAAACCAATGGAGGGGGGAGGGTGAAGTGCGATTGGAGCAGCGAAGGGGGAGACGGCATTCTGTACTTGTTTGATGAACATGGCTGAATGGATTTTGCAAGACTGAGCATAACTGCTACCACTGTCCTGCTCTGTGCGTCGCGTGCTCATGGCAAGGTACAACGAACAATACACACTCCTCTAGCTCAAAATCAAACATTTAATCATACTGAACAGAACTGGAAATAGCCGATGCCATGCAAAAGGCTACACACTGAAATCAAAAACACATCAACACAACATTATTAAAAGCGCAGGCTTATGCATTCAAATCGCGAGCCTCGGCAAGCGGGAAGAGCGTCGGACGCATTGCAAGCTCGTCGGGATCGCGTCGCATCCCCATAAATTCTGGATAGGATGGCTCGCGGTGTGTATAAACGTCCAAGCCTGGAGTGAGGAGGGGCGACAATAGCAACAAGTCAGGGCAGAAGATTAGCACAAGTCACGCTTGCTCTCTGCAGAGTATGCTGCAGTTGCTGACCTTCAAGTTCAGCTTTCTCGGACACTCGTAGCATTCCTGCTCGTCGCAAGGCAAAGAACACGAGAAAGCTCCAGGCACCTGACATTGCAAGCATCCGCTGAGCGATCAACCATTCACCATCAGACAAAACGACCAACCAACAAACTCACAAGTCCAGCTGCACACACAAAGAATGCCAAGCAATTGAATGCCAAGCTGCGAGAAGTCTCCCTGTTGTCGAATAAACACGAGAGAGGGAGCGAATGAGCGTAACCGACGACAAAAACCGTGTTGGTCAAAACACCATACCGTGAACACCAAGCCCTCCTCGCGCGCAAACAAGCCAGAGCCGATGGTGCCGACGATGCCGCCACCGAGATGAACGGCGATTGCATCCAGAGGATCATCAATTTTAAACCGAACCATCAGATGGCTCGTTAACAAGAGCTGAAGGCCGGCAAAGGCGCCGATGATGACGGCCGCCCAGTGTGGCACAGTTGCACACCCGGAACAAATGGCGACCAACCCAGCCAACACGGCATTCAATGCAATCAGCAAAGACCATCTTCGCTGCATTGCCTTGACAGCAAGAAGCACAGCCAGCGCGGCGAACGCTCCAGAGAGTGTCGTGGTGATTGCAATGTGTCCAAGAATGGTGGCTGCCAAGACGACGCAAATGTTGCAGGTTGAAAGTCAGAAAAATCAAACAGTCATGGCGTCACCGGTCCACAACAGCATTTCTCAAAGCAGCTCGGAGTTCCAACCTTGAGTAAAATCATTGCCCGAGCAAATGTTGAAGGCGAAAAAGCCAACCCACAAGAGCAAGGCTCCTTGGGCGACAAGTACCGTAGAATGCCCAGGCAAGGACATGGGCTGGCCAGAGCTGCCAAAGCGCCCAATTCGCGGGCCAACCATCAGCGCGCCCAGTAGTGCTGCACACCCACCAGTCGCGTGCACGACCGAGCTGCCAGCGTGATCAATGTATCCCATCTGGCTGAGCCAGCCCCAATCAGACCAGCACCCTGTGTGATTGTAAGCCAACAAGCCAACAAAGTAACGAGATTCGAAGAAAACCGATCGGTGCACATCACGGAAGAATGAATTTCGCGCGTGGCTTACAATGGACCACGACGGGATAGACAAATAGAATCAGCATAATGACTGCAAAGCAGTATGATACAAGGTTTGTTCGCTCGGCCATAGAGCCCGACATGATTGTCGAGGATGTGAGAGCAAACATGAGCTGTGAGGAGCAGGTGAGGCAACGAGGTGAGCGCCACCACGACGACGCCTCACAACCAACGCCACCATACCCGCAAAAACCTAACCTGGCAAAATGCAAATGCCTCTGTGAACCCGAGCGACTCCAGGTCGAGGAGGAAGAACGCCGAGGAGCCGATAAACTTGTTGCCGCCGCCGTACGACAATCCAAAGCCACTGACCCAGTAGCACACCATTCCGAGCGCTGCATTGAGCGTGTTCTGCGATTTCCAAGGTTTTGTTAGCAAGTCCATAGTCAACTTTCCGAAGCTTTCTGGTTTGCCGAGGGTACGCATAGTACCTTGAGTGTAATGTTTGTTGCATTGGCAGCCCGCACGGCACCCGCCTCGAGGAGTGCAAATCCGAGCTGCATGACTTTTAAGTCAGTGATAATTTTTTTACGCAATCAAGTATCGTACTAAAGTGAGAGAGGGACATTGACTTTGAAAACGGTGAAACGTGAGAGTGACGAGCGAGAGTGCAAAACAACGTCCTTACGAAAGATGAGCATCCCAGAGAAGAGGTAACCGACCGTATTGAACATTCTGACCAAAACAATAGCAAAAAAGCGTGAACATTGAGAAACGCATTCGAGATGACCGAACGAAGAGCGAGGCTTTTGCATGGGTGACCGGGGGTTGTGTGTATTGGAGGCGGGGTTGGGTCCAAGCGCGCGAGTTTGGCTGGGCGCTCCATGGCGGACACCGGGGGAGGATCGAGTGTGTGTCTGGAAAGAGAAGGGCTTACAGTGCATTGATGTACACTGGAGCAGCGGGCTCCGGCGGCAGCGTCGGCGAAGCGCTGGAACTCATGTCGGGTCGCCAAATTCAATGCAAAGTTGTATCAAGCCAATGCGAAACGGGTAAAAGCTTGATAAACTGAGACTGAGTTGGCAACGAGGTTTATAAATGAAGCTGGGAAATCAATATTCGGCGATTAGAGTTGAATTGATACAGTACAGAAGCGGAGCGCAATAAATACAAAAACGAAAATCTGACATGCGAAGGGAAAAAAAAAACAGACGTTCAGTTGACGCACCAAGTCAATGGCTACGCTGAAGCGTTAACAATTGCAGGAATAACCTCAGGGAACAGGGCGCTCACAAAGCAGAGCATGGTGGTGCGACGTGTGCCAAGGCTCAGTCCGATTGCCGCTGACAGACTCTCCTCATCGTCTCCTGCTGCTTCACTTGAAAACAAGCCTATCTGGACAGAGGCAGCAGTGGCCAGAATGCTGGCCCGTGACTCTTCGGGTTGTTCCTGAAAGTGGTGGTACAAGTTGCGCACGGCTCGAAGGACATCGACGAGCCCGTTCGACTTGTAATTGCGGTGCCGTTTCAAGTTGGCCAACACGGCAGGAGGGAATCGACTCATCCAATCGATCGTGGTCGATGCTGGTGGAGTGCTGCTGGGATTGGACGTGGACAGTTGACGGCAGATGGCTTCATTTGCACGAACGAGCTGCTCGTGCATTTGTGGGGAAGGCTCGCTGCACTCTTCCAGAAATTGCATGCGCTGCTCTTCCTTCCAGAAGAACGGGTGTTGCAGGGCTTGCAAAATTGTTGGTCTGCGGTCGGGGGTGGTTTGAGCATCTTGGTGAGCATGCAGCATGAAAACAAAAAGCCGTTCTCCAGTTTTGTTTGTTTGCTGGCAAACCTCACCTGTTCGACTGTGCTTGAGCGGTCATTGCGTCAATCAAATGACGAACTTCGTGCAGGTTGGTAGTGCCCAGGCATTTCTCAATGCGAGTCGGCCAGCTGTTTTCAAACCAAATATACAATCAAACAAAATTGAACGCCAAGTTAAGTTTCAAAGATTGCGTTATACGCGCAACAATTACCTGGAGGTGGCATGAAAGCATCGACCACGAGAAAGCAAAAAGAACACCAAAGCACCCATAGAGTACATGTCCGAAGCAGGGGACGGAAGGGCATCGCTTGGACTTTGCAGTCTACAAAGCGCCATTCGTCGAGTAAGTCGTTTCAATTCTTTTCGTAGTTCAAATGAGATCCCTTGAATACGTACTCTGGGGCTATAAATGAATGTAGTCCAGCATTTTCGGTCGTGCGACTGGTCGGAGTTGCATGGAACGCCGAGACTTTGACGCTGCCAAAACGAGAAGAGAATCAGCAAAAAATTTCGCGAGCAAAAAACAAAACTCTCCTCCAGCGTACCTGTTCGATCCGGTCAGAACGATAGAGTCGGGAGACAAGCTTCCGTGGATAATGTTCATTCCATGGAGGAATGAGACGGCCGAAGCGATTTGGCGCACAAACCTGAGAAGGAAGCAGGTCGCATCGGGTCTTGCTAGCAGCTGCCTTGACACGGTCATAACAGCCTCCGACTGCAGTAAAGGATCTTGCGCGTGGTAGCTTTCGTACGAAGGTACGGAAAGGAACAAGAGCCTCAGCGGAATGGCAAACAGCTCCATTGCGATGAACACATCACCGGTTTTCGCGTCGATTTCCTAAAGTCAAAACCCAAATAAGACGATAAGTCAAAGACGTCACTGAAGATTGTCTCAACCAGCACGTACTTGACCAAAGTAGGTGAGAATGTTGGCGTGAATGGTAGTTTCCGAAACTCGCAAAAACAAATCCACTTCGGATTGTGCAAATTGGGCCAAATCCGCCTCAAAACGCCGAATGGCGACGCGTCGCTGCTCGTACCGTCCAACGAATGTTTTGGACTTTGGCTGGCTGCACCAATCTGGAAGAGCATCAATCGTTAGTGTGAGCGGCAAACCCTTTTGTACCTTCGCAACGACGTAAATTTGCAGTCAGCCTTACCCATGAGTTTTGTTTCGTCAAAAGAAACTTTGCCAAACACATGCTCTGCACCCGCTACTGAACTTTCAAGAACGGGGTTGTCGGTCATTTCCATCTTGTCGTCGTCCTCATCTTCAGAAGCTCCAGCAGCGTCGTGCTCCTTCTGCTCCTCCACAGAATCAGCAGTAGTCGTCAACGACGTGACCACCACTGCAGCAGGCTCTAACGCGAGCCGCGCCAGCGAGTCAGCGGCCGAATTCACGAGCAATCTTTTCGATTTGCGCGACTGCACGCGAATGGCATACTGGCGCCGAGCTTGTGGCTCCATCTCGACGAGTGCCACGATGCACTCGAAATGGCCCTGGCGCTCGGCTCGATCACGCGGTGTCGCACCAGTACGATCCTTGGCATCCAGTAGCGCTCCGCGACTCAGCAACGCTTGTACGCAAAAAGCATGTCCCATCTCTGCTGCGATATGGAGCGGGGTGGAGCGAAGTTCATCTCGACCGCGTACATCCAGCAGCTTGTACACTTTCGTAACGGCCTGCAAGCAATCTGCATAACCACTGTAGCAACAGACATGCAGAGGCAAGAAGCCTGCCGCATTGAACGTGGCCAGGGGACACGGCAGACTTGGATCATTGGCATGTTGCTCTCGCGTCTTGGTGTCGTTGAGAAGAGTATTTACGGCGGTGTGGTGCCCATACATGCAGGCCAAATGAAGAGGCGTGTTCCCACTCGCGTCAACGAGCGAGCTGTTGCAGTCGTATTCCAACAGCGCTTGCACAGCGGCCACGCGCCCAAGTCTGGCGGCAATGTGCAATGGTGTCTGACCAGAGCACGTAGTGGCGTTCACATCAGCCTCACGACGAAGCAGCGCGGGAATGCATGCCGATGCCGCAACGGGCGAAGCGGACGCAGCGGCATAATGCAAGGCGGTCTGCATGTGCGGAAAACCAGTGAGGATTGTACCACAGCAAATAATCACAAACAAAAATAGCAGACGTGTACCTGCTCAATTGTGCCATCTTTCTGATTCACATCGACACCATGCTCGATGAGCAGTTCCAAGACATCAATGCTGCCGAGCGCTATGGAAACAGAGCAGAAAAAAATAGCGCGTCAGCATCTTTGGGGGAAGTTGTTGGCTGTTGGGCACAACACTGAACTGAACGAATCAGCAAAAAAAACGAAGAAAACTTGCCAGCAGCGACATGGAGCGGAGAGGTCCCGTCCCGCGAAAGCAGCTCCTGGGACGAAAGCGCCGGATGCACCAAAAGTAACCGTGCAATGGCATGACTGTTAAACCGAGCGGCAAAGTGCAACGCCGTGTAATCCCGACTATTCCGCAGATTTGGGTTGCAATGTGGGTGCTGCAATAGTAGTCGAGCCACTTCGACGTGACCTTCCTGAACTGCGAGGAGCAAGGGCGAAAACCGCCGCTGTGTGTCACCCCGCGACGTGGATGCACCAGCAGCAAGCAGCAACAGGACGCTTTCTACACGACCTTGTCCAGCCGCCAGCGCGAGAGGACACAGTGCCGGCGAACTCGGACGGAGCGAGGCGTCTTCCGCCTGGCGCAGCGCCGCGACGACCGCGCGTTTGGTCCTGGACGCAGAGCCCGAATCGGACATTGAGTCATGACGCGTGTTACTACCACTAGACTTGACCCCTTCTGACGGCACATGGTTGAGAATTGCGCTCAGAATTGGCGGGAATGGAACGGCCGAGTGAATGGCCGTCAACGTCGAAGCGGCCAGATTTCCATCCGCCAAAGAGCTCGATATTGGACTTGCAGATGTTGATTTCAGTATTGCTTGTGCGTCGCAGTATGGGACTGCTCCGTTTGCTCCTGAAGGTGCGTACCAATTTTGAGCAACACAGAGTGAGTGATTCTACTGTGCAGCCCATCCCTTTCCACCACCGCCGCCGCCGCCGCCACGAGCAAGAATGAAGCTAGCAGCATGCTTGTTGGGTTTTGTTACCGAGGCCGAGGAGCAGCCGAGTCGCGTCGAGCTGGTTTGCGCTCGCCGCAGCAATCAGCAGCGTGTCGAGCACTGCCTGCGTGATGGCTGCCTCGCGCGATGTCTGCGGCTGCGGCTGCGACTGTGACTGTGACTGTGACTGCGATGACTGTGCAGTCGTGCCATCGCCACTGCGGTGCTGAGCAATCACGCGCGGGAGTGTCGTGCTCAGATGCGCTGAGAGTGCTGCCAAGTCACCCCGCTGCACGAGCGTCGCGAGCAGACCAACGAGCGTCTCGAGCGGGAGCATCCCCCAGCAACGGTACAACACAAGAAGCACAGAGCGACCAGACTGAACTGGCTGAATGGAGTGATGATAAAGAATGAAAACAGGGAACTGAGGACTGAGTAGAATGACAGAGAGGTCTGAGACAACTGAGCGTCGGGAACAAGGATGAGCAATGGCAGCAATTGCAGCACTGTGTTTCATTGAGCATGAACTAGTTGTTGTAGCATGGCAATGGACGGTCGCAAGACACAGTTCAATGGTGAATGAGCTATCTGAAGGATTAGAGAGGGCCTCCCTAAAAAGACTCAGTCCAAAAACCATTGCGCCCCCACCCTAAAAAGACTCAAACCCGATTATCTCGGCTTGTATTCCTCCCACCCCGCCGCCGTCTTCGAATATCAATGAACACTCATTCCAGCTACAAGGAAGACATGGTCAGACGGGCGCAGGAGCAACTTGAGGTCGGCCTCGCCCAGATTGCGACCGCGTCTCCCTTCCGCCAGAGGCTCCTGACGAAGGCCACCGCCCTCAAACTATACTATTTTGACCCGTTCCTATCCACTACGGATGTCGGCGGAGCTCCGGGAGCCTCCGCCGAGCGAATCTGGACGACCCGCCAAATCGCCCATGCGCTGGGTCGATCGCAGTCCATGATCGCCCGCTGCATCAAGGCCCACGCCAACCTCGCTCCTGACATTCCTGGAATGACCTTAGATGAGTTGGCTGACGTTCTGCGCGAGGATCCCATCCAGGGACAAGGCTACGTGTTCACCGTCCCCGAGGAGCAAGAGCTCGTCGAGTTTGTCAAGCGGTGCTGCTTAGGAGCTGTCTCTCTGAGCAAAACGGAATTCACTCGATATGTGCTTGCAGCCTCGAAGGTGCCGAGGCCGGACGGCGTGGAAAGACGTCAATTTGAGCACGACAAAGTTTCCGACAAGTGGGTCAATGATTTTGTCGCCCGTCACAGCTCACAGATTGGCTGGCGCAGTAGCAGCGTGTTGGAAACACTTCGAGTGGCTGCTTTGAGTGAAAAGAAGCTCGGCAGTTTGTTCGCGCTACTGGCGGAGTACAGCAATCTTTACCCGACTCTTTTCGCTACGCCGGCCAATATTTTCAACATGGACGAGTCGGATTGCTCTGTGGGTCGTAAAAAGAAGCGTGCCCTGGCTGCTGTTGGTGTCAAGCGTGTCAGTCGGCGATCTGGCCGAACCATTACGATGGGACCGCATGTTACTGGTCTGTTTACTGTTTGTGCTGATGGCACCGCTCCTGTTGCGCCCCACTTCATTGTCGCGCATCCACGGCCCACTCTACCTCACAGGTGCACCGAGGGCCTGGACGAGGAGTTGATTCACCAGTCCGAGTCCGGCTTCATCAACGAGGAAATCTTCGACAAGTGGTTTCGAGATTTCGTCGAGGTCGTCAAGGAGCGAGCTACCACCACCCCCGTTCTATTGGTGATGGATGGCAGCTCGTGTCACAAGTTCACTGTCGGGTTGATTGACCTCGCGGTGAGCAACAACATCCTGGTTGCGATCCTTCCATCGCACACGTCGACTCACTTGCAGCCGCTCGACGTCACCGTCTTTGCCTGGTACAAGAACTTGCTCGAGACTCACGTGCAGTCGATTTTGGATGAAGACTCGCCACTCATCGACGTGAACATCAAGCTTCACGGGGCCATTCGGGCGTGGAACGAAATTGACGACCGATCCAACTTGATCCGATCTGGGTTTCGCCAAACTGGTATCTATCCGCTGGACACGGAAAAGCACAAGACCCTAGCGTTGCCTTCCGTCGCTGACGTTGCCGTGTCTACGACCCCCCTCGCTGCACATTCCCGAGCCACCCCCGACCCCGGATGCTCGGTATTCGGCGTTGTACCGTGTCCGTCAGATTGCCGATGCCGCCCTGGTAACCATTGGTTGCACTCCGAGAGCTCTACAGCAAAAGAGGGTGCACGATGCAGCGGTAGCTGATTTGCGTCGAAATCTCGAGGTCGAACTTTCGGTGCAAGAAGTCCTTCGGGCCCCACCCAGGCCCCTGCGGTCCAGGAGCATTGGCAACAGCTCCATGCGCGTTTCTATGAACTCGACCGCTCGATCCCCGCTTACGCCGGAGAATAGGGATGCCCAGCTTAAGCGGCAGGAGTTGCAAGAGAAGAGGAAGCAGCTCGAACCTCTGAAAGAAGAGTACAATCGGCAACGGCCCATCTTCCTCCGCACGCTAAAAGACCTTGACTCACGCATCTTGACACTTGCGGAGACAATTCTTGCTCTGGAGACTCAGCTGGCTGCTCTGGGAGAAGAGGTCGAGCAGGACATCGAATCGGCAACTGCCGCGGAGACCCGAAACAAGCTAGCTGCTGCTCGCCTGCAGCATACCAAGCTCGTACGTGACCGCGCGACATTTTTCAAGAACCGTCTCAAGCGACCCACTCTTCTAAGTCTTGAGCCAGCGGCGACCGCTTCCACACCTCTCGTTCCTCGGCGCGTCAGCAGGCCTAGGCCCATTCTCGCTTCGCAATCGATGGCGAACGACACTGTCGACTTGGATCAATCAGCCAGCGAGGAGGAAAGCGAGTCTGACGACGATGACGACGAGAATCAAGCGTCGTCCGAAATGGCTTCCGCTGCCATCGGCCACAACGACAACCAGGAGGACCCCAGCGATGTCCAGCGTCAACCTCAAGCCGCCCGCAAGCGTCGCCAGGAAGATGACGATGAAAACGTCGCGCCCGTCTTCACCACGGTCACATCAGACTCGAGCGATGTTGTTCAAGTCGATTATCAGCTGAGCTCCACCGAACTCCAAGAAATCCGACGCTATCGCATGCCAACGCGTAGTACTACGAAGCAAGATGGACATAATGTCAAATTGGCGCGTGTAGACCTCCAACCTGCGTCGTCAAGGCCGGCGCTCAGCGACCTGACAAACCTTTCTCGAAGCAACACGCTACCACTGTAATTTTCCGTGTTTTGTGTTCAATTCTATGTGCATCCCATGTCATTCAATGTAGTTATGTGTTTTTTCCGGTCAAAAAGGGTGAAATCATGTCTAGGCAGGGGAAGATTGGACCATGCCCGTCCGGCGCGGGCGGTCTGGCACCTGCCGGGTTCTGTGGTCACATACAGTAACCGTCGCACCAACTGCAATACATAGATACCAGTTGGTATTACATGTCCCAGTTGAAGATGGGCCGACAGATCCTCGACACGGGCGACACGGGACTGGCAAAGTCAGTTTCTCCCTAAAAAGACTCAGCCCTAATGCACGCCCAGCCAAATCGAAGCGAAAATTTTCCCCTCCGATTCGCACCAAAATTACCAAATCAACTATATAATTTATGCTCTTTCCAATGATATAGGTGGCAGGGCGAGGAAATGAACAGGGGGGACTGAGTCTTTTTAGGGAGGCCCTCTCTATTCAGCAGTCCAATGCAAATGCTCTGGGGCTCAGTCACCAAATTCTCAAACCCGTTTTACCAGACCTTTTTTTCCATATTGTCGTATTCATCATGAGCACGGATCCAAGTCGTGGAAGCACTGACGCGGAGGAGCGCGAAATCATGCCAGGCGTCTTCATGACGGACTTTCGACGCCCGACCGCCAACAGTAGCAACAATAGCAATAATAGCAGCAATGCAGCGTCTTCTGATGCTGGGCTGCATGGTGATGAGACGGAGACGGAGGAGCTCGATCGCATTGTGGCTGCGATGGCTGACGCGGGCGAGCTCGCGACCGAGGTCGAGCTGGACCGCCTGCGCAACTCAATCACGCATCTGGTGCGGTCGAACAAGGAGCTGCACGAGTTTGATCCGGACGGACGGGACGCAGAGCTCGTCGAGGCGATCGTCGAGAACGTTGCCGTCATTGCAAAGCAGCAGCGACTGATCGCAGCGCTCGAAGACATGCTGCTGCAGCGGTTTGGACGCAAACCCAGGTCACGGCGGCACCAGGAGAGCCACTACAGGGACGCGGCGCTGGCAGAGGCACTGCAGGCTGATGGAGGAGCGCGCGAAGCTGCTGAGAATGCCGCGACCTTGACACCGTCATCGTCAGCTTCGGCTTCAGCGACGACGACAGCCACAGGGACCGAGCAGGCTCAACAGGTAGCGCAGGATCAAGGTGCCTGGTTGTAGCGGATGCGGCAGTCCGCGATCCGAGTCCGTTGTCCGTTGCTCAGAGAACTCTGTTCTGCTCAGAAGCTCGCCTTCCTTATTTGTACTTGTAAACCACACCATTGAACAAAATTCGCTATTCACCACGTAGAGCCGCGCAATGCAGTACTGTACATTGTGGATCATGGAGTCAAACCGACCGCTGAGCAGTGTGTAGTCAAATGTTGACGTACAGAGAGTGACAAACAACAAACAGCAAAGTGATGATACACGGAACGGAACGAAGGAGCAACACACAAAACAACAGGAGTAATACAGAAAACGGGCGTCTGAGCGCGGGGGTAAGATGGAAGCAGAACATGACAGAAAATACAGCATCACAATCGTCAAATTGGACAATTGGACAAAGGAAAAATCACAATCACGCGTTCGAGGCGCGGGTGATGGGAGTGTCGTAAACACCCCCAAACTCGATTGCGGCGTAATTCACATCGGGCTTGCCGCTTGCCTTGGAGTCGCGCGGACCGCGTGATGTGGCGGTCGCATACGTCGTCTCATTGCTTGAAGGGCGACTCGATTTGACGGTCGTCACGTCCGAGTATTGAGTCGAGTCTGAGATGGTCAACAGGGAAGAATCAAGAGAAAACACAATGAGTCACAAACGACAACGGCGCAAAGTGCATCAAAACACACACGCAGTTCCAAAACGCACCGTCATTATCCGTGCGCAGCAAATCGTGCCGCGATGAACCGACAGCCGCATAAACGCCGTCGCTGTTGCCCAATGCATTCATCGTCATGTCGGTGCTGTTGCCGTGACGAGTTTCGCGACCGCCCCGCTTGAACAGCCACGACATGCGCGTGGTTGGCTCAATCTCGGGAGCAGTGGACACCCTTGGTTTGTACCGGGGGCTGGACTGTCCTCGACGCCGACACACCAAGACAATCACCAGCAGGAGGACAAGCCCGCCGGCCACACCGCCAGCCACAGCGGCAACCGGGAAGCTGGAGCCGCCGCTACCGCCCAGAGGAGCTCCCGCCGACTGGTGCGACGGGGTAGACGACGATACGACTGGAGCGGAGGAGGGCGGAGGCGAATGGGTGGATGCCGCCGGTGTACGGCTCGAGGGAATGGATGAGTGGACAGAAGATGTCTGGACAGTTGAGCTCAATGCTGCAGACGACGAGAGGTCGGCGGATGAAGAGATTTCGGATGGCACCAACGTGCTGGAAATGGCAGGTTCGTTCGTGGTAGACGCAAGCGGAGCAACCGGCGTCGACGAATCAGCAGCGGTAGACGCCTCTCCGGTCGAGGACGGTGTTGCACTTGACGGCGTTGATGTAGGAGTCATGCTTGATCTTGTCGATGAAGGAGTCGCGCTTGACCTTGTTGATGAAGGAGTCGCGCTTGACGGAGTCGCGCTTGACGATGTGCTGACTGAAAGATGACGATACAAAAACGAGAGTCGAGGTCAGAAAGCAAAAAACGAAGTGCACTCGTGGGTTGGACGAGCAATACTCACAAAAGTTGGCAGTGTACATGATGAGAAAGCCATAGTCGACGTTGGTGTCGTCTGAAGTGAACTCGGCGCTAAACTTGTTGCCAACGATCGTGAAATCGAACGGAACAGGCAGCGATCCGTTGAAAGACCCAACAAGTTGATTGGCCGAGTTGAAGAACTTGAGAACATCGTAGCGGGGTTCGGTCGCGAAGCTGTAGAAGGTGAGCGTGTATGAAACAGCGGATGCAACTTGCACATTAAAATTGCAATCCGCATTAATGTCATAGATAGAATTGCCATCGCGAATGAATCCTTGAGTCGCAGTCAACGTGGAAGAAGAGCTGCAATCGGCCAGACGGGAAGCCGTGTTTGTCGGAAGGACCATGACGGAGAAGGCATACCAATAGTTGGTGAATTGAGTAGAATTGAAATAGTAGAAGGTGTTCTGGTTCGTAAGGGTTGCCAAATTGATCGTCTTGTATGTTCCGAAGCGAATATCCGAGCCAAACACGTTAAGCCACATGGAAATATCAACGCTGATATCCTGACAAATTACACAGCGTGACCAAAGGCCAGTGAGCTTGAGGAATCCCCTAACTGTGGGACGACGAATGCGCTACTTACATTCGGCAATGTTACAAGGTAGTCGTCTGACCATTGAGGTGTCAAGGTGCCGAAAACTGTGCGTGCTTGGTAGGATCCGCCGTCTGATCGTTCCAAATACATGTAGCTGTCGGTCGTCGTTGAGGAAACTCGATCAGGATCGAACGTTCCGCGGTCAAAGAAGAAGAGGTACTTTAGATTCACGCCTGCACAAAAGTCAAAGCGAATCAGCGAGGTTAGTGATTCCAGCGAGCTCATGGAGGCATTTCGCAAAAGTGAGAAATCACAAAGTGACATTTGCGTCAAATGTTCAAAAGTGGGAATGAATTGGCGGGTTTTCTGAGATTTTCAGCCACTTTGTCATTCATTCCGGCGAACAGCACTGGATGTTCTCAGTTTAGGGGTTATGGTTGAGTTTATGGATGGAGGGTCGTAATGGAGAGACAATGTTGTCGGCGACAGAGAGAGAGAGAGAGAGAGAGAGAGATTGAGCGGGGCATGGGGCGCGACAATCAGTGAAGCGGAGGGACGGACGAAGCGGCCATGCAAGCAGCGCGAGAAGGAGGAGCGGATTGGTGCTGTTGTGGTTTTGAGGGTGGGTTTGAGGCTGAAGGAGAGAGGGAGCGAGAGCGAGAGAGAGACAGCGAGTCATGGCGAGCCACTCAGCATTGAGACCCACCGTGAACTGGAGCGGAGAGTGACACAAGTGTAAGGACGGCCAGCAGCAGCATCAGCAGAGGAGCCGGCGTGGCGACAGTCCACCCACGCTGAGGCAGCATTCGTGTGATTATGATGGATGCAAGGAAAAAAAACCCAGCAAAACCAGCGAACGTCAAAAGCAAGCAACAGTGAAAGAACGAAGGAGAGGAAAAAAAAGAAAAAGAAAAAAAAAAAAGGAATGAAAATAATGAAAAGCCACTCAAAAATCAAAAAAAAAAAAATAATAATAATAATAATAAAAAAAAATAAAAATAAAAAAAAAAAAGAGAGAGAGTGGCATGTGGCACTTTGTCGGGGGTTTCCATCTTTAGCAACGTGCGACAAAATGCTGAGATGGAGGAGCGAGGAGCACAATGCAATGGAGAAAGAGAGAGAGAGAGAGAGAGAGAGAGAACATTGCATTCAATCAACAGAGCAGATAGACATCGGGATCGAAGGCGAATGCGAGGAACGCGAAGAAAAACACAACCCGCTCACCTCGCTCATAACACGTATGCGCGTGCCAGGTGTCAACTCGAGTGTCTTCTTTATTGCAGCCAGATGCAATCAAACTTGGAGCGTACAACGAACAAGCCCATACATGTTCTGACTTTCTATCTCAACCACACACTCTTGTTACTTTCTACCGCCGAAAGCGTCGAAACATGTCAGCAAGCTCACTTGGAGTCGTGGCGTCTTCGGTCGACTTGTCCGTCCGCACCCTCAAAAACCGTGGAAAGCGGAGCGAAATACCGCGATCAGGCTGCTCCTCAATCAGGCCGGCAGCGGCAGTGTACACTGGACTCAGTGTCAGATCGGCGCCTCGGATTTCCCAGACCTGACACGGCTCAAACCACACATCCGGCTGTAGCTGCGGGCTCACGACATAGTACGGCTTGGCTTTTGGGATGATTCGCGGACCGAGAGCGGTGGATGGCCCCGCCGTGCTTTCCTTCCCCTCGGCTGCGTCGCCTTCCTCTGGTTTGTGGGATGGGGTTTGGGTGTAGAATGCCAGTTGCTGCTTGTAAAACTCGTCCGAAAAGCCCGACATGCACTTGCACACGCTAATGTACTGCTCCGTCTCCGGGTCGTATGCTGCCAGAAGGAACGGGGAAAACCAGCCAGCCTTGCGTCCGTTTCCCCAGAAGGCGCCGATTGGGACGAGATCGAGCGACTCGACCATTCCTTCGACGTAATCGCGCTTGACCTTCAGCCAATTCGAACACCGCTTCGAAGGCTCGTACGTTGACTGACGCAAAGCCTCGAGTCTGTGCTGCTGTGACGCTGCGCGAGCAGGATTGCGTTCCCGCAGGCGATGATTCGGGACGCTAGTCTGGTCCGAGACAGGCTCTTCGGCATCGCCCGTGCGACCCTTCCTGCCCGCATTCTCTGATTCTTCTTCATGGTCGTCGTCGTCGTCGTCGTCGTCGTCACTTTGCGCAGCGGCATCACCCGCGTCGGACGTGGTCACACCAATGTGGGCAACCGTGTCGGCATCGTCAGCCGTAAATGTTCCGCGAGCACCGAGCGGCTTGATCATCAGACCCTCGCAGGTCGCGTTGATCGCGTCATGGAGAAAGGCCATCAGCTGGTCCCGGGTATCCTCGCTAAAGCTCATTCCAGCCGCCTCGTCAGGCAGAGACCGTGTCACCGTTGCTGGGGTTGCAAGGGCTGGCTGCAGGTTGGGGCCAAACAGCATTTGAGGGACAAACTGGAAAAAGCCGGGTCGCTCTGCAAATGTGGTGCGGAGCAGCATGTTTCGGTGACGAAACGGCGCTCGGAGCAGCGACTGGCCGTTCAGAAACATCAAGTCAAACGCAAAGATGCACACTTCAACCTCCAGTTCGTTTGTGGTGACGTCTCGACGAGCTCGGGTCGACAGGGTCTGGAACGGGAGTACCTTGCCGGTGCTACGCTGAAAGGCAACAATCTCAGCGTCCAGAATAAACGACTCAATCCGGCTCGAGTCGCCGGGCAATCCCTCCGCGACCGATGCAGAAAGCATGCCGATCAATAGTTCGACAACATCCGGAAACCTCCCAGTCATGTCCTCGAGATGTCGGCTAAACAGTCTGACTCGCGGGGGGCCGTTGGAGGGCTGACGAGGATGCCACACATGGGCCTGCACGCGCTGGCCATCATACTTGAAATCTGCAGCAAAGTCGCGCCCATCCAGCTCCGCAATGACATTGGCCAAGTCTTTGCAAATCTTGCCAAGCATGGGCTTGAGCGGGATGCCTGGTTGCAAGCGACACGTTTGTGCCACAAGAGCCACTCCACCCTTGAGCAGGGCTCGGAGAATAATCTCCCAGTTGGGCGCCTGGTTGTAGCATTGCTTGAGGACGGCTGCTGCGGCGGCAAGCCGGTCTTTGTCGGAGCGATCTGCCGTCGGTTGCAAGCTCGAGACGAGTCCATGGAGGCCTTCAAGCCGCAATCCCGGAGCGGATGTGCGTGCCAGCGACTCCAGCACAGTCTGGATGGGAACCTCGAGTGGCGAGGTGCGTGTTTCACTGGCATGTGCGAGCGCAACCAGAACCGTGTTGTTCACTGCGCCAATGCGCAGGTGCTGCAGAAAGATCCGCACCAAGTAACGCATTTCTTCCTCGCGCGTGCACACCAGAAGGCGCTTGATCAGGTTTTTCTTTTGCAGCAGCGACCCGTGTCCTAACAGAATCGCAAGAATGTCAAACACCAACGATCAATTTCGGAATCCACCAAGCAAAACTCCAACGTTGCCAAACGCATCCCAAGACTTGCCTTTGATCTCTGCGATTTGCCGCATGGTGCGAAACACGGTCGACACGGTCAGGGGCTTTGGCGCAACCAGAACTCGCATCGAGGCCCGGGCCTTCTGAGCGATATCTCCCAGATCCCCGAGTGTCTCGTATTCATGCTTGATTTGCTTGAGTGACCTGAGGGAAATCCAACAATCCATTGGTTTGAGTGTTGGCACAGAGGTTGCTTGGAGGGAGGCTCGGCTCATCTTGCATACGACACAACAACAACAAAGGTATTGTGACAACAAATGCAGGAGGGGAAAAACTTACATTCCAGTCACCTCAGACACTGCACTGACCATCGTGTGGCCGCCAATCGACATTTCATCGCCCGGTTCGTAGGAAGGGGATGTGCGATTGGTCGTCAAATACACGGCAGGCAACAGGTCTTGCGGCGCAGCATCAATGATTGAACGAAACATGTCAGTGAGGAGCGCGGTAATCGTGAGGCGCCCTGTGTTGGCCTCGACAGACGAGTACGTTCGAGCCAGCGTCAGGAATGGGGTTTGGGCACCGACTTCCAATGAAGCGCGTTGTGATACAGGGACAGCGGCCGTTGCCGAGATGAGCGTCTGGCTGCTCGATGACTCGTTGGGGCGAGCAGGCAGTTTTTCGTCGTCGAGCATGTCCAAGCGCACTGGCCTGGTGTCGAGCGAACGAGATGGAGAGGAGGCAGATGAGGACGAATGCGCATGTGCAGAGCGTGTCAAGGTTGATTGAGCAAGGAAAGCTGCGGCAATTCCGACCTGGCGCGCTTTCATCGGCGACGACTTGTCAGTCTCGGGGGACGCAGATGCAGATGCAGCAGACGACGACGACAAAGCGATACCCGAGCGACTAGATTCGTCGAAATACTGATTGACTGCTCGTTGAACATTGCCACTCGTAAGAATCAGCAGTCGCTGAAGGCGCGCGCGCGATGTGCCTGGAGGTAACATGGCCGCGAGCTGCGATAAGGATGCCTCTCTCGCATCATCTGCTGAATCATGGTTGTTCAAAGCAGCGGCTGTTCGAGGGATGTGGAGGTTTACAGAACTGCCGCTTGCAGTATTTCCACTTGCAGTTATCGCACTTGTTGTAGGGCGGAATTGGGCCGAGTCGGACGGTGGTCGAGATGTACTGTTCAAGCACGAATCCAAGTGCTCATTGATCTCGGAGCTGGCCATTGTGGTTGAGCAGATTGGACAAGAAACCTTCGACTTGTCATCTGGCTGAATCGCAATACCGGGTTCATCAGATGAGTTCTCGTCCGAATCATCATCAATGGACAAAACAGTGGTCGCATCGTCATGCTGGACGCTCCTTTTCCTAGCACCGACGGAATCAGCTGCGGCGACGCTTCCATTGCCAAACAGGGCGAGAAAGTCCGCACGACGGCTTTTGACGTCCACCAAATCAGCAAAGTAGCCATTCAGTTTTTCCGCCTTCGAAGCTGGCGCATCACGGCCCACGACTGTTGGCACAATCCGCTTGGGATGGAGAAAGGACACAAATTGTCGCAGTTCCGTAAAACTGCTGTGCTCGCTGTAAGGAATGGAATACACCTGGATGTTGTCACGCTGCTCGAGCGAGTACTTGACACCTTTTGCCGACGTCGTGGCGTACTTGAATGTGTATGTCCAACCCGTAGGTAGGAAGGCGACCACTAGCGACCGAGGTGAGAACGAAAAAAAAAAAGTCACTGAGAACCGCAAAACAAACCAACCAACCGGCCAACACCAAACTTAAATAAGGCCGCTTACGTCGATCGAATCGCGGCGCATAGTGAGCAAGCATCTTTGTGAGCAAGCTGTGATTGGCATTGAATCGCCAGCCTCCAGGTGCCATCTCGCCGAGGAAACCCCAAGGAACCTTGGTCAAACAAGCTGTCAGAATCGAGCAGCAAACCGACAGACTGCAAAAACCCGAAAAGCAAAATATTGCTTACAACATGAACGGGCGAGTCGCGCCAATCAAGCGAAAACATGCTCATGTCAATGCCTTCTTGCAGCGCGAGAACGGCGTGTTTGCGCTCGTCGACGACGATTTTACAACCACAGCGTCGCGAAACTTCCACATAGAGCCGCTCTTTACCAATGACGTAGGATGCGATGAGAAACAGCGTTTTCACCCGGGAAAAGTCGCCATCGGATGCGAGGCGTTGGCTTTCATGCGCTGCAGCGTCGTCATCATCAACGCTCAGCTTGACTCGTTTCGGCGCAGGCGGGAGAGCGGCATTGTCTCCTGCCGGTTGCAGCTCAGACCTCATCATGTTGAAAACAGTCTCTGCAACAAAGTCGATCGGCGCGTCTTGCGCCGGCAGTGTGTATTTTGGGTTGCAGTAGGTTGTGTCGAGGAAGAGTGTCTCAATCTGTCCAATGGGAGCACCAAAAAGTCAAGAACGAGCAGGCTGCTGCTTGGATCCAAAACGGGATGCGTGACCAACCTGATTCTGGGCCTGGATAAGCGCGGGATAGTCATTCATGCGGGGATGGTAGCGAAAATCACCAGTATGCAGATACACCAGTCCGTTGGAAACCTTGAAGAGCATCATGGCGGCTCCGGGGCAATGGTTGGCATCCATCAGCGTCACTTGCACATTGTCAATCGTGACAGGTGTGTTGAACTCGAGCGGTCGGATCATTCTGAGATAGCCGGAAAAAAAAACATTGTGGCTCAGATTTGGCTCAGATTTGGCGAGTCGCACCACCACATCAACAAAAGGCACATGAACCACGAACATCTCACCTTTCGTCAACCTCCAGCACCTTGATGACAAGTCGGGCTGTAGTCGGTGAGCAGAAAACGGGACCTGAAATTTTGTGGCAGAACGCCGAAATTCTCAGAATTGGTTCTTATTGTTGTTGACCCCCAATAAATCACCATCATCATTTGTCTTTACCTGCACGCCACGTCTTGGTGAGTCCCGCGTAGTGATCGGCGTGAAAGTGCGACAGGAAGAAGAGCGGTCCGCTGTGAGAGTGCGGCTCCATTGCAGCAATTCCGTCGTCTAGCTCGATGCCGTCCACTTCGATACCAGTCATGCTACTGCTAGTGCTGCTACTCGGTGATTCTGACGCCGTGGCGAGCGCAGCCGGTGGCATTGACTGAGCGTTGTCACTCTTCGTGCTCGCCGTCCGCGTCATCGCGACTCGCGGTGCTGTTGCTGCCGCTGTTCCTGCGCTGCTCCCGCTCGCAGAGGATGCACTGATCGACTTGTTGTACTCTCGGAACGCATCGACGAGAAACCGCGTGCCTGGGATGCAATGGTGGGGCGGCACCATGTCGCGTGGAATCGAACGTAAAGTTGCGCGCAACTTGGTCCCCAAAAAACTCAGACTGAGGTACATATTTCAAAAAATCCAATGTTCAATTCAATCAATATTTGGAAAAACAAAATCAACAAACAGGCCTCCCCGCGTTTCACGAAAGCGACGCCGGCAAAAGTGCGTTCAGCATTGGATCGACAAAGCAGAGCGTCTTCCACTGGCTGGTGCGAACACGAGCCACCACGGACTTGCACAGGGGATCGACGGCACTCTCGTTGCCAATCTCGAATCGGAGCAAGAGATGGAATCGAGGCGGGAGGAAGATCATGAAGCAAAGGTCTGCAACAACAATGAAAACAAACAAACAAACAACCGAGGTCAGTGCGATTGCTCAAAGCTGTGTCTGTGTGTAGTGAGCAGGTGGAAACACTAACCGCTGGGATGGTCGGCCAAGGTGGGGACGGCAAAGCGGCCAAGTTGCCTATCGAGTGCCTGCCGCAAGTGCTCTTCAGAAACGTCGAGCACCTTGACGGTTTCAAAGCCCTCTTCGGAGACGGTCCTATGCGAAAAGAGACGGAAAGTGAGCGCTCAAAAGGCAACCAAAAGAAGCATTCACAACAATGACGCGTAATTTTCGAGCCTTACTTGAGCAGAATCTGGTCCCACAACACGTGGAAGAGCGTCTGTAGAGCTGTTTCGCACACGGACAACGGCGCCTGAAAACACAAGCCAGAGCGAAAATTAGAACAAAGAACAACGAGAGAGCAAACAAAGACAAGACCACAACCCAAAATGCAACATCTCCTCACATTCTGAACGACGGGTGGAAGCCGCACGGGACAGAGCAAATCTGAAAAGGTAATTTCGAGGTCATTCAAGGGCCCGGTGAATGTCTGTCCTGCCTCGGTGCTGAACGTGGCCTGCACGGAAATGGACGCGGGCAACGGATGGACAATGTCGAAATACGCCAAAGTTGTCGCCACGTAAGGGAAGCGTTCGGATGCTGGCGCTGGATTTTCGGGAAAACACAAATAAATATGAGTTTGAAAAAAAGGGGGAAACTACAAGTCAAGCAACGCCCAAGCCCAAATCTCTCTCTCTTCTCAACTTACGGCGAACACGCGTCGGGCGCCGACTCAGATAAGGGACGTGACACTCTTGAGTGGCAATAATGTGCCGAGGGGTCATGAACGCAAGAGACACACCGAAAAGATCGTCGGGAATGGTGACGGCGCGCGGTAACGAGCGATCTTCGACGACAGAGAGCGAGAGCGGGATGGCCACGCGAGCATCAAAGTCAGGCGAGTCTTGATAGGCACAGTATGCCTGCCACAGTTGCTCGGGGCTTTTGGCGACATCCCAGTTCTCGGGATGCGGGGCATTGTTGGCGTCCGCGTTCTCGTGCGCTGTTGCTGCTGAAAATTGGTCAACGCTGGACGGCTTGAGCAGCTTGTGCTCATGGGGCATTTTGTGCATTGTAATCAGCTGGACATCCAGGCGCTCGGTGGCCTTGGCGCGCGGGAAGGACGAGGGCGCCGCAATGCGAGCGGCAACCATGGCCGACAGCGAGAGCTCCCCGCCGCCACCGGCAATTTGCTCAAAGGCAGAAGATGCCTTGGACTGCTGGCCCGCAGAGGCAACCGCCGCTGCCCCTGCCTCGCCTGTGCTGAGAATGCGGGCAAGTCGTTCGCCGTTGACGCGATCGAGAAGCAACCGATAAAAGCGAGCGCGGTCGCGAATGTCAGCATCCACATGGCCATGTGCGAGCAAATCTAGCACCAAGCCGAGCGAGCGACGAACGTGCGGCGAATCAGAATGGTGCTGGAGAATGGGCCGGCATGCCAGCAGAATCGTGTTGCCAATCGCCCAGTAAAAGTTCTCTGGTTCGCCAATCAACGCCGACGAGGACATGATTTGGGACGATGCCGAGATAATGCTGGAAGCTGCAGACAATGCAAAAGTACCTTCAGTAGGGGCAGAGCCAAAGATGTTGACGCCTGGGGAGGTCGTCCAGATGGCGTTGGTCGTTCGAATGCCCAGAGGACTAACGCCGCCAAGCGCAGCCTCTTCTGGCGAGAGAGACACGTCATAAATGTCTGGTGGAATGCCCAGTGCGCCGTGCTGGCTGACGGGAATATGTGGTGCGATACCGGCCTTGAGCAATGCTGCAATGCGGTCGAGTAGCGGGGCTGGTGGCAAGGTCGGCTCTCGTGCAATCTTGCCGACCAGGTAAAGATGCCGATCAAAGTGCCGCATCCACGACTTTGTGTCCATGGCTGCGAGGCGCGCGTGCAACGAGTCGAGGACGAGCGGGGGAAGTGGGTCGCGAGGCAATCGTCGCTGCACGCGGCGGACGAGATCCATCACGTGCCAAGCGAGATGTGGCGCCCGGCGGATGAGTTCCACAAGCGACGAGTGCAGAGCGCTCGAGAAGGACTTTGGGAAGCGCATGTACATGCGGAAGAGCACCCGGAAGAGGTCGGTGACTTTGCGCGAGTGAACCTGCTCGCGCTCGATGGCGTGAAAGCAGGAAACAATGTCGGTGAGAGCGTCGTTGGTCGGACGGAGATGGCCGCGACGAATCCACGCACCCGGATCCACCATGCCAATCGGGAGGGCGCCCTCGATGATGGCAATCAAACGCGCAGTGGTCAACCGCGCAGACTCGTCAAAGACGGTCGGGTGGAGCAAGGCGTATCGCTTGTACAGGGCGCGCGCAGACGTCAACACGGACGAGTTGGTGTAGGCCTGTTGTTGTTGGTCTGGTGGGCCGCCGTCCTCCTGGCCAGCGTCGATCGATGCGACCGAGCCGAGATCGAGAATGGGGAAGGCCGTCATCCAGCGCGCCGCAAGAAGTCTTACCTCGAGCGGAATGCACGGATCGTTGACCAGCAGGCAGAGACGCTCGAGCATAATCTCGTCGTCCGACTCTTCAAACATGTCCGAGCCAAACCGCAGGCGCAAGAGCATGACGGAATGGATGAGGACTGGACTGTGCGTGGCGACGAGCCGGAAGAAGTGCGGCTTGAAAACGCGCGGCGTCAATCCCGCATAGGCAATGCACTCGGACAAATCCAGCACCAAGGCGGCGAGGCACCAGGGCGTGAGCACGTACGAGTTGTCCACCACAAACGCCAGCGCGCGCTTCAAATCGAGGCGAAGTGTGTCTGGGATGTCTTCTTGGTCGAAAGCAGGCATGGCTTGGGGGAGGGTGAGTATGGCCGGGTTGAAGGAAGGGATGCGTTGTGGGAGGGCCGAAGCCGCGTTCAAAGGGGACGACAGCGCGTCCGACGACGACGCAGCGCCAAGTCCTTGTTGTGAAAAGCGCGTGGTTGATGCCATCGTGGACTGCGGTTGGCGGAGCGCCTGCAGCTGTTGTTGGGATTGGAACGAAAGGTTGGTAAAGAGGACTGGAACGGGCACGCGACTGCACCGCGTGGGCCGATCAAAGGTGGCAAAATCGTCCACGATACTCAGCAACGATGGGTAGGATGGGAGTGCTGTGCCTGGTCGCTGCTGCCTCAGAGGTTGGCCAAACGCAGAGACGCCGCTGCTGAGAGCCGCAGCACTGCCTCCTGCGCCACCAGCATTGGCTGCGCTGTTGGAGCCAGAGCTCGCTACAACAACTGCACGCGCGGCGTGTCGTAGGGTGGTTGCAAAGAGCGTCAGGGCGTGCTGACAGACGTGCGTCACCTCGTCCTGGCAAATGGCGAGCAGATGGCCCAACCGGGACCAGAGGCAGCCGGGGAAGGCCAGCTCGATTTCTTTCAGGCACTCGAACGTGGCAGCGCGCAGAACGCGGTCCACCGAGCTGTTGACGCACGCTGCGACGCGAAGCAACAGGGAGACGAAGGCTGTGAAGACGGTTGGCTGCGTCTCGTACATGTTGAACTCGAGCAGCATGACTGTGAGTGTGACGATGATCTGGGAGAGGGAGACGGGGAGGGGGAGAAAGAGAGAGGGGGGAGGGAGGGAATGAAGTCAGTTTCGAGCAAAAAAGCAAACCAGGTCAAGCAAAACCAACCCAAATCCAACCCAACCAAATCCAACCAAACACCAAACCAACCCAAACCAAAACCAAACACATCAACCAAAACCAAGCATGAGACGCACCTGGCCTCGAACAAAGAAGGACAGATCGGAGGTCTGCAGAAACATGGACTGCAGGGAAGCGAATGCGTGCTCGAGCCTTGCAAACTCGCCAAAGAGCAGTTGGCAGTTTTCCTGCATCAGCGCGAGCAGTCGGATCTTGATTGCCTCGTCGCGTTCCGAGTACAAGATCTGCAGTGACAAGTTCAATCGAAGCCAAATTCAATGCCAAGTGAGATTTTTCAATGCAACGAGTTCAGAATGACCAGGGGGTTGGTTTTTCTTCTTTTTTGTCAGAATTCGAGTGTATGTTTTGTACTCCAATTGAGATTGTCATTCCGTATGTATGACGATGGAGTGAGTAGAGTGGAGTGAGGAGAAGAGCGCCTGATCGTAACGTCAGGCCGTCTTCCCCCCTCCCCCCGCCTCCTGTCGCCCCCCAATGACACAAAGGCTGTTCTGGGCTGACCTGGAGCAGCAGATGGCAGAACTCGTCCGTGTCGATGCCGCGGGTGGCCATGAAGATGGACGGCGAGTGGTTGAATGCGAGCAGATCGCTCTGCCACTGCGCCTCGTCAAACACCGAGGACGATGCGGATGCGGATGAGGATGACTGCGGCTGCACTGATGATGATCCAGAGCCAGAGCCATAGCCAGAGCCAGAGCCTGAGCCAGAGCCTGAGCCTGAGCCTGAGGATGGGTGGCCAGGGGCAGTCCGATACTGCTGCTGCTGACCAGAAGCACTACTGCGCCCGTCCATTTGGTACGTCTATCTGTAATGGATGGATGTTGAATGGGGGACTGATCTCAAAGAATTAGAGTAGGAAATGTCGAAATAGAATAATAAATACAAGAGAGCGGTTTTGTTGTTTTTCTGTTTGGCTCAGACTTGAAATCTCAGAAAAAGTCACTCCAGTCATTTTTTGCATTGGAAGATATGAGCGATCGGGTTCCACTGTTCGGTGAGCCAAAATAACAACGCCTGTTTGTGGGAGTGGGTGATGTACTGTTGCACTTTGAGTGAGTCTGAGCGAGTGAGTGAGTTTGAGTGGCTGACGATTGCTGGGAAACGCGGCATTGCGGCAACCCCCATCATCATCCTAATCCTCATCCTCATCCAGCGACAACAACAACTATGCATTGACACTTTGGACGCCTGTTTTTGTTTTGGGTGGTTTGTGATGGGCTGCTGCAGGGTACCATCGGACCGAGCTGGACCCGCTGCTCATGCGCGACTCGCTGGCAATGGAAGACCAAGCCACCAACGCCACCGAGCGCAACACCAACAACAACAACAACAACAACAACGCACTGTCGCAGTCGCAAATGTACATTGGAACCCAGGGCCTGCTCCACGGCGCTGCTGGAGGTCGAGGTGGACACGGTGGACATGGCGGTGGTGGTGGTGGGCGAGCGCGCGCGTCATCCCCGCACACTGACCATCCGCGCCCAGCCAGATCCGTGTCTGTGCCCGATGGGACGGACATGATCGCCCCTGCGTCGCCAGGCGGGGTGATCCGGCCAAGAAGGAGCCTGCTGCCGGGCGTGCGGATGACCGATGAAGAGTATCTCCGTCCGACCTCGCCGACGAGTATGGACACGAACAACCAGAGCGGCGACGGCGCGACAGGCAGCAGCTATAACAATAACAATAATAATAACAGTGGCAGTGAGGCATCGACGTCGTATTCTGCCGATGTTGCTGCTGCTACTGCTGCTGCTGCATCCACCTCAATCACATTCAAGCCGACGTTCGCGCAGTCCACGGAAATTGGCGCCAACGCAAGCGAGACCTCGTCAGGCGATCACGACTTTCTGAGTGGCGCCCCATCACGGAGCTGGAAGTGTAAGTCGAATCAAACCCAAACGAGATGCGGATCGCTTGTTGGGTGAACACTTCGCTGCATTCTGAATGTCTCGCGCACTATTTTTGGGATTGTACAGCAACAGTGCGAGCCATGTGGGGAACAGCCAAATCTCGCGCCCCTTACTACATTCCCAGTATTCGATGGCTGCCAAGATACACCCTCGACCACTTCCGCAGCGACATTATTGCCGGGCTGACGATTGCCGTCATGATTGTTCCGCAGGGACTGTCGTACTCGGCGCTTGCCGATCTTCCAACCACTCACGGGCTGTATTGCGCCTTTGTTCCTGTTCTCGTTTATACCTTTCTTGGGCTGTCCCGGTCAGTTGGTTTTGACGAGGCGCAGTTTGCTCCTTTTTTTTGTGTGTGTGTGTGTTTGTCATTCGCCTTACTTTTTTTTTGCCACACCCCCCCCCTTTTTTTACCCTCTTCACAGACAAATCTCGGTCGGACCAGAAGCCGTCATTGCAATCCTCACGGGATCGGCGCTGGAAAACATGGGTGACGACGATACCCGCGTCATGTATGCGGCAGTACTGTGCCTGCTTGTCGGCTTGTTCACTTTCACGCTGGGACTCTTCCGGCTGGGCTTTTTGGACTCGATGCTGTCGCGGCCTCTGGTTGAGGGCTTTGTCCTGGCTACGGCCGTGGTCATTATGGTTGAGCAGCTGCACGGGCTGCTGGGCTTGCACGTGCATCTCGACCAAGAAGCCTCGACCTTTTCAAAACTACAGTCCATTGCTGAGAATATTGACGAGACCCACGGCCTGACGTGCGCGTTCGGCTTTGTCGCGCTGGCCTTCTTGCTCGCCTTGCACTTTGCCCGCAAGCGCTGGCCCGACCTGCAGTGGCTACGCTTCTTCCCCGGCATTCTGCTTGTGGTCATCTTTGGCACCATCATTAGCTGGCAAACGAACGCCGAGGAGAATGGCGTCCACATCATGGGCCACGTCAACGGCACCTTCTACACACCTCGCGCACCAAAGCTGACGTCCAGCACGCTGACCGACATGGCGGGGCCGGCCGCGCTCATCTCAGTCGTGGGCTTTGTCGAAGCCTCCGCCATTGCAAAGACGTACTCGGCCAAGTACGGCTACCAGGTGTCGCCAAACCGCGAGCTTGTCGCGTTGGGCGCTGCCAACCTGATTGGAAGCTTTTTTGGAGCCTTCCCGACGTTTGCGTCGCTGCCTCGATCGGCCATTAACGACATGGCTGGCGCCAAGACGCAAATGACGGGCGTGATTGTGGCGGGCGTGGTCGTGTTGACGATCGGCACCATGCTTCCGCTGTTTGTGCACCTGCCGCGAGCGTGCATGTCGGCCATTGTCTTTAGCGCCGCCGTGGCGTTGCTCCACTTTGATCAGGTCAGGTTTATCATCCGCATGCGTGCGTATCGGGACGCGCTCCTGCTCCTCGTCACGTTCGCCGTGACCCTGTCGATTGGTGTCGAAACGGGCCTTGTTGTTGGCATTGCCGTGTCGATTGTGCTCGTCATTCGGCACACCACCTTGCCGCGTATGACGATTCTTGGCGGCGTCTCTGGCACGGACAAGTTCAAGCCCGTCGATTCGTTCAGCCACGTCAATAGCGAAAACTTGCTCGTGATCAAGATTGACGAGGCGCTGTATTTTGCCAACACTGGCCAGGTAAGCGTGTGGCTCGAGTTGGAGGTGTGGTGGTGGGGTTTTGATGTGGGGTCTCATTGTGGTTGTTGTGTTGTGCAGCTGAAGGACGCGTTGCGAAGAATTGAAATGCTGGGCAATCTGGAAGTCCATCCTTCGCAGGAACCGTCTGTGCCTCCGGTTTTTGCAGTCATTTTTGATTTGAGGGACATGCCGAGTATTGATGCCAGGTAATGAGCGTTGAGAGGGATTTTGGAGTGTGTTTGGGGGGAAAAGCGAGAAACTCAACTTTGTAATTGTTCGGATGTTGTTATTCTTTGCGCAGCGGTGTGCAAATTCTCATGGAAATTGTCGTCGAATACCGCTCGCGAGGCGTCGATGTCGCTTTCGTCAAGGTTCGCGATTCCAGCAAGCAGTACTTTCACCGCTCCGGGTTTTTGGAACTTGTCGGTGAAGATCACATATTTAACAAGGCGACCGAGGCGCGTCGCTTTTTGCTCCAGCGCTGAAGTGAGGAGGTTGGAGAAAGTGTCGAGAGCCAAAAAAAAACGTGTTGCACAGGTGTAGATGTAGATCTATCAACGGACGAGAATATTTGAACGACGGTTTTTTGTTTAAAAGGTGAAATTGTGTACTGTATTCAAAAAGAATGATTCGAAACTCAATGGTCTAAATGCAGCGATGCGAATGGAACGTGTTCCTTCTTGTTCAGTTCGATGAAAATGGGCCCTGCTGCAACGGGCATCGTGAGCTCCAGGAAAAGTCGAAAGTTTTTTTTTGAGAATTGGGCTCAGCCCCTTGCATGAATTCTTTCGCATACAATGCTTTCACATCCACTTGAGCATGCTTCAGCAGTGATTCAGGTTCACTCCTGGTCGATCCTTAACGCCCGCTGTTTGTGAAACGCGGTTCAGTTGTTAAAAATCAACCTTTCCCTCCGTTTCTCGCTGTGTGTCAGCATTCTAGCTTGGCAGCCTGGTTAGTACAATGGTATATTAGCCTTTGTATTTATTTATTGAGGAGAAGGGGCGAAAAGTCGAGATTGCAGTTTCAAAAGTTGGAATTTTTCGATTTTCAGTTGCTGGTTTTTATTTTTCTGCTCTGGTCGTCAAAAGTTCGCCGACATCGCGCAATTCACTGGCAACCCACCTCGATAGCTTTGTATTCATGCCGTCATTCTAAATTTTTGATTGAGGAGAGTTCTTGTGGGCTGGAGCAAGCGTGAGGTGGTTTCAAGTTGGTGCGAAAGGGAAGGCGCCGAGTCGAGTGAGCGTCGCGTTGTAATCCACCATCCAATGAGTACAGTGCACAAAGAATCATATTTATGAATTTGATTGAGGTGTTTCATGGCGCGCGGGTAATTGGTTGTTCACTCTACAGGCCGCTGAAAAGAGGGCATCGAGCAGCCCTTTCAATGTTCTTCCTCCTTCTTTGCCGCATTCTTTTGGACATGATAATTTCGCATTTCACTCTAGCATGCTTTAGTAAAGGAGCGGGTCAATCCTGGCTCGAACTGGCTCGAGCTGGCTCGAAAATCGCTTCAGTAAGAATTCGGATTCGTTCGATTCGGGCTTCCTCGTCGTTCTTCACAAAATCCTCATGATCAGGATACTTTTGCATTTCATTTCTAGCATGCTTTAGTACAGGAGCGGGTCAATCTTGGCTCGAACTGACTGGAACTGGCTCGAAATTCGCTTTGGCTCGTTCGATTCGGGCTTCCTCGTCGTTCTTCACGAAATTCTCAAGTCCAGGATACTTTTGCATTTCATTTCTAGCATGCTTCCTCAGTAATGGTTCATGTTCATCTTCTTGTCATTCACCTTTTCTTCAGCAATTCCAGATTAAGAACATGCTCACTCTTGAATTTGCTTAGCGTTATCGCTTGTCACTTTCGCCCTTTTTCCCCAAAACCAAACCCCACACAGCAACGCTGTCAGCCTTTACGCTCCCCCGCGCGTCCCGCACCACCCCCACGACCACCACCACCAACCCTTCGGGTGAATCTTCCGGCGGTGTCTCCTCAATCCAACCATTGTTATTACAATCAATGAGACTGGACCTTTAAGCTTTAGCGATCTTTTTTCTTTTTTTCTTCTTTTTCCTTCTACACGCGGTTTTTTTTTCTTCAGCATTTCGTCTGTTGTTCGTTTCGCTTCTTCGCCTTCCATTCTTCCCTCCCCCATTTCATCACCTCATTCTCTGCAACCATGGCGCCCCCCGCACTCGAGTCGTCCTGCAACACCCTCGTGTAAGTCATTGTTCAATCGAGATAAAAAAAAAAAAAAAGGGCGATCGCATGATAAAATCGAATGACTTTTTATCAGCTCGTCACTTGTTTTTTTGCTTTTTCGCTTTCCTACTGCCGTCCACACTCCATTGCGTGCGCATTGGCTGCGTATGTGCACTGCTTTTGCTCTTTTTATGTGCTTCTGGTTGTTTGCTGCGAGCCGCGTCCGCTGCTTCAGCACTTGCTTGAACAACAAAAAAAAACCTGCTTTTTTTTTTTTTTTTTTTTTTGCTTTCTATGCATTTGCATTGCGTCATTGGGGAAAAAAAAAGGAAAAAGAAAAAAGAACCAACTAGAAATCCTTCCAACCACACCGCTTGTTCACTTTGCAGTCACCACCCCATTTTGTATCTGACACAGCGCCCCGGCTTCGCCCGCCGCTTCGAACACCCGCGCGGCCAAGACCAACCCCGCTGCTGGCTCGACGGCCCTCTTTGGCCAGACCCGCGTCACGTCGTACCCGGCTGCCAACGCCCCGTCTGACGGCGGCTTTGCCACTCTGCTGAGCGCCGAGCAGCGCGCCGCAGACCAGCTGGCCAAGGTGTTTGTCGCCGCCCCGCTCGACCTGGTCAACCACCACTCGCCCACCTGGACGGCCATGCTCACCGTGAACAGGCGCTTTGTCATCCAGCCCCCGTCGTCGGCTGCCGCCGCCCTTGGCGCCAAGCAAACCCTTGTCGTGCTCCTCGACCTGGCTGAGCACCACCTCTGCACTGAGGTTTCGCTCGTCGTTCTCCGCAACGCCGAGTCTGCTGGTGAGTTTCGATGTTTGATGGGATTTTTCCTTTTTTTTTTTGTGCTTGGTGTTGGTCGATTCGGCTGTGTTTCGGTTGGTGATTGAGATGTTGGAGAGTTTTCTTCTTTCTGTCGTGATGGATTTTCGAAGATAGGGACACTGATGCTGGCTCGTTACCAGCTGGGTGAATTTGATAAAATCTTCTGGCTCGTGGAGACATGATGCCGTGTCTGAATATGTTTTGTTTCCTTTTTTCCCCCCAACTGTACTTTTCTGTTTTTTGTTTGCCTGACTGTTTCTCACTTTTTCTTTGCTTGTTTCTTTGTCTCTTTTTCTTGCCACTTTTTGTAGACGCCAACGCTGAGACTGGTAAGGAACCTTTCGTCTTCCCTCCCTCCCCCATTTTTCTTTTCTTCCCCTTTTGCCGTATTCTGATGATCAACCGAAGATAGGGACAACCGAAGTCGACCCCTCCGTAGGGGCGACGCAGACTGAGAGACAAAATCTTCAGGCCGTGGAGACATGAGCCGTTTCTGAATTCGCCTTTTTTTTTTTTTGTTTTTTCCCTTCTAGTTTTATTTTATTGATGGTGGCCTCCTGTGTGCTTTTCTTTTTCCCCCCGTCGTTATCGCCTTCTCTGATTCTGGTTTGCTTTTTTGCCTTGTTCTCACTCTTTGACATTCGTTTGCTACTCTATTGTAGATGCCCTCGTCCGTGGCCTCGTCTACCTCGGCTTTGCTCTGGCTGCGCCCGGCTCTGCCAACCAGCTTGGAAACTCCTCCTACCACACTCTGACCTACTCGCTCTGAAAAACAAATGCGAGTCGACTTGCACCTTTCGTGCCACAGTTGAGCGTTCGCTTCCTGTCACGCTGTGCTTGTTTCTTTCTGTCAATCACCCGACCGACCGACTGTTGTCGGCTGTCCTTGTGTGTATGTGTGTGTAGCGGACATTGGAACTTGAGGTTTGCATGCTCACAACACTTGTCCAAAACAAAAAAAAAAACCAAATAAAAAGTACAAAACTCTTCTTGTATTGAGTTATCATGTGCATTGTTGTGCCAAAGCCTGTTCTGTGTTCAGTTTCTCAGTCTCCATTGTTTGCAATGACAAGCTTTCATACGCCTCCGAACTGGACGTACTCGATGCGCCGCACAATGCAGGAGGTGCAACCGGGTGAGTGGCGCTCCATCCGCCCTATGCTGCCCAATGTCCAATGGCAGGCAGTTTGATTGATTGGGTGTGCGAGAGTGAGAGCGAGAGTGAGCGAGAGTGAGGGCGGGGATTGGGGCTGACTGGTCTCATTTTGCTTCAGTGCTTTTGCAAGATGCTGCTGCTGCTGCTGCTCGTTCGCTCACCCCCTCCGCATCACGCTGCTGCATGGCCGTGTCCTACTCTCCTTGGCTCTTCGTCGCACCCTTTGCATAGGCATCTACCTGGGTCCCTTCGGCTGCGTCAAGGGCCCTGACAGCGTACGTGTGTTTCTCGGCTGCTTACTTGTTCCTCTCTTTCGTCTGCTCTTCTCCTTCCGTTGCAGTCGAGTGGCGATCGAATGCAAATGCATGACTTTAGTTCCCATTTCCTCGGTCTGTCATCCTCGGCTGATGGACATTGCCAAGCTAGAGCACTTTCGTCACTCAAAATGCTTCAAACTTGAAACGGTTTCACTTTATTTATTTTTATTGTTTGTCTTGGATGCTGAGCGACATTCAATTTCTGCGCCCCCTTCTTCGTCTCTCGTCTCTCGTCTCGCGATGCTTGGCGCACTCACTTGCAATTGCTGATTTTCATTGTTGTTGTTGAATCTGCACTTGTCTTTGGCAGCCCGCCTTGCTCGAGAGTGCCAACATTACACACCTCGTCTCGGTGGGAACGAGCATGGAGACGTACTGGCTTCGAACTCAATTCGCTGGCCTGAAGCCAATCCTGAATGTCATCGAGTGCAATCCCGTCGGCTCGTCCAGAGAGCAACTCGCAGCACTCGCCTACGCCGCGGCCAACGAAGGCAGACAGACACGATTTGTGCCCGAGGAAGGCGACCAGGATAAACCAAACTGGCTCGTAACCTGGTTGCCGAGCTTTGTGGTGAGTGTTTGTGTTTTTGGATGTGTGTTTGCGGACAAGTTCCAGGTTGTTCGGTGGACTGACTCGTGGGGCTGTGCAAACTCGCAGCAATTTGTCAACAGGGCCATCAATAGCGGGGGCAACGTGCTCGTGTTCTGCTCGACTGGCATTTCCTCCAGCCCTGCTCTGCTCGTCGCCTACCTGATGGCGCGCGACATGATCACGTACCGTGATGCCTTGGAACAACTAGCCGCCCGGAGATTTTGCATCACGATATCCCCAGAACTCGAGTACAAGCTTCGAGTACGAAAAAAACAAAGAGAAAAACAAAAGCGGTATGGTTCTGTGGGTGTTGTTCCCTCGACTGACTTGTTGTTTTGTGTGCTTTTCTGCAGCTTCTGGAGTACTTGTTAGACACCCGACAATTGTCGTTCGAGCAGATGGATGGTCCAGCACAGAATCGAGCACGCCGAACCATTGGGACAGAGGCGGAAGAGGAGATGCAAGACGCTGAACGCTACGCCGCTCGAGCGCGCATCGAGGGTTCCGATGAGGTGTTCATGGAGCATGGCATGAATGGGATGTATGCTGCTGCTAATTACATGTAAAATTTATGGGACAACGAACAGCCCTGTCAACCTAGCAAGTGGAAAACATCTTTGCGAATGGATAATATTGTGCTTCGTGATTAGAAAATGGAACGAGCGAACGGGGTCGAGCACCCACGGCTTGAGATGCAAGCACGTCCAGGAACGTCCGCAATACCCAACAAAAGCAACGATGAAACAAATGGGAAGGAGACATGGACAATTTACTCATGCGTGACGAAGAATCGAAAAGCTGAACCCGGATTCAGCGTTGAAACACCAACACAACTGTTTGCCTGCCATCAAAGACGCAATCTGTCAAGAATGTCGCAAAAGGATGGACGTCCATCGGCAGCGTCATCCAGACATTCGAGTGCAAGAACGGCAAGCTCGCTGACGCTCTGGTGCTCGACTGCATTTCGATCGAGGGCCGAGTCCAGCAACTCAATGACGGTCTGGTATTGGACAGCTTTCCGCGCCGCCGATATCAGCCGAGGGCAGGGTTTCTCTGCAGATACCAGTTCCAGCAGAATAACCCCAAAGGCGTAGACATCTGTCTTGGTGGTCATGCGACCTTCGGCTACAAACTCGGGACACATGTAAACACGCGTGCCTTGAATATTCTGGGTGCAAAGGTAGTTCTGCTCATCGAAGTGTGGGGCGTCACGGACGAGGCCAAAATCAGAAACTTTTGCGTTGAAATGCGCGTCCAAAAGCACGTTGTCCGTCTTGAGGTCGCGGTGGAGCAGAACATGCTCAGGGAAGAAGGCTGTCTGGACGTACTTCATGCCACGCGAGACATCAGCAGCAATGCGATGGCGCTGAGTCCAGGTGAGTGGGGGAGTGTTGTTCTTGCAATCCAAGCGGTCTCGCACAGAGCCGTTTGGCATCAACTCATACACCAAGCAATATCCATCGTGGCTTTCGGTATAAAACAGAATGGTAATGATGTTGGGGTGACGGAATCGAGACAGAGAGTCCAATTCTAATTGAAACGTGGCATAGCTTTCAACCGATTCGGCGGACAGCCTCTTGACGGCGACGCGTTGGCCGGATAGGCTGGCACGGTACACGCGACCAAAACCGCCTTGGCCGATCAGCAAATCATCCGCAAAATTATTCGTGGCAGTGACAAGCTCTGCGAGAGGAACTTTGGGGATGGATCCGGCAAAGGATCCAAAGGCTGGTTGGCTGCGCTGAAGCACGTCGATCCAACTATCCCTGACAGCGAGATCGGAGCGCAATTGCTGAATCTCGAAATCTAGGTCGAAAGAGGGCTGAGACTGCGCGTTTGTCGGGGCACTAGCTGCAATTTGAACCGAATGGGCAAGCTGGTCGCCAAGGCTTCTACTCAGAAACCAGATTTCGCTAAAGCAAGAGGATGGGTTGTTGAGCAGACTTGTTTCATACACGAATCCAATAAACCTGCCGAGCCTTACTTAAACTGACAAATGGTACTGCCCGGTTGCTTGAACGCGGTGATTCCAGTTCGCGTCAAGAAATTATTCGCCAAGCTGTTGATGTCGACTACCATGAGTTCGGCGAACTTCAAAGCATCTTAAAGCATCAATACTCACAAAAGGATAGTCAGCGTCTTGTTCTCTTTGAGTGCTTCAGCAATCGCACGAGCTCCAGCATCGCTAATCTGATTGTGGTACAGGCTGTTTTTCCCCCCCCCCATCAGTAAGCCACTGCTAATCGCCCGCTCACATGTATCAGTCAAAGTGAAATGCCTTACACGAGCACAGACACCGTCTTGTTCTCTTTGAGTGCCGCAGCAATCGCATGGGCCCCTGCATCGCCAATCTGGTTTCGGTGCAGACTGTTCGTTTCATCCATCCGTGAATGCCTCTGCTGGTTCACTCCCGCCCGTTTGCTCAGTCAAAGTGAAATGGCTTACACAAGCGCAGTTACTGTCGTGTTGACCTTGAGTGCCTCTGCAATCGCCTGCGCACCAGCATCGCCTATCTGGTTCTCACTCAAGCTGTCCGTTCCCCTCGATCAGTGAGCCACTTTGAATGCCCTCCGCTGAAAGCTTCCACTCGCAAGCATCAATCAAAAGTCGGATGCTTTACTATAGCTCCTTCACCGTCTTGTTCAGCTCGAGTGCTTGAGCAACGGAAAGAGCTCCAGCATCGGACACCTGATTCTTGTACATGCTGTGTATTCCGCCGTCAGTGAGCACTCTGAGTGCCCTCCACTGGATCACCCATTCACAAACATCAGCTAAAGTTTGACTTACGAGAGCCTAGTCACGGTCGTGTTCTCTGTGAGCGCCTGAGCAATCGCCTGCGCTTCTGCATCGCCAATGTCCTGCTGGCTCAAACTGTCCGTCCATTTCGTCAACATGCGCTGTTATCACTCTGTTCCAATAGATTCGTCTTTCTCTTACTGGACCCATCCACTCGCATTCTTGACTTTCTGATACAGCGTTTTCTGCCTCCAAGTCATTCTCTGATACGCCAACATTGCGCTGAATCCACACAGCCAACCAAAAACGACTGCCTCTGACCGAACAAGTTTCACTCAATTTCGTCTCTAGATTTTTTAAGCTCCATGTTCAGTATTTATGCTCATGGCAGGGAGGCGGAATAGGGAGGGGGGGGGGAAATGGACAAGGATTTTTTGTGAAACAATGACAGCAAGAAACTCTGAGAAACGAACAGACACAAAGTCAACAAGAAGTCAAGTGTGATTTCGACTTGTGTCTGAGCACCACGTAAAAAGAACACGCGACATGAGAGCGGAAAGGACATGTGCAGAGAGTCAAGTGAAAGAAGGAGAGCACCCCGCTCATCTCAAAGAATCGACATTCGCAACCTGATCCAGAACTGAAACGGCAAAACAACAACTTCTGCTTGTCATCGAGTAACCAGTGTGGCGATAAGGGCTCTAAAAGATGGGCGATCATCGGCAGCTTCATCCAGACATTCGAGTGCCAGAGCGACAAGCTTGACGGCACTCTGGAGCTCGACTTCCGTTGGTTTGAAGGCCGAGTCCAGCAACTCATTGACGGTTTGGTATTTAATAGCGTGCCGCGCTTCCGACTTCAGTCTGGGACGGGGCTTGGCGGCAGTCATTAACTCGAGCAGAATCATACCAAAGGCGTAGACATCCGTCTTGGTGGTCATGAGGCCTTCATCAAAGAACTCGGGAGACATGTAAGGAACGGTACCTTGGATACTCTGGGTGCGAAGGTCGCTTTTCTCATCGAGGGAGGCAGCACGAACGAGGCCAAAATCAGAGACTTTTGCGTTGAATTTCGCATCCAAAAGCACATTGTCAGTTTTCAGGTTGAGATGGAGCAGAACATGACCAGGAGAGAAGGCTGTCTGGATGTAGTGCATCCCACTAGCAACACCAACCGCAATGCCATGGCGCTGGGACCAAGTTAACGGAGGAGTACTGTTCTTCAGATTCAAGCGGTCACGCACAGAACCGTTTGGCATAAACTCGAACACCAAGCAATATTCATCGTGACTTTCGGCATGGGATAGAAGGGCAATAATGTTGGGGTGACGAAATTGCGACAGGGAATGCAATTCCGATTGAAATACGATATAGCCTTGGATTGTTTCGGCGGACAGCCTCTTGATGGCGACGTGTTGGCCGGAAAGACTGGCGCCGTACACACGACCAAATTTTCCTTTGCCGATCAGAGAATCATCCACAAAATTATTCGTGGCGGTGACAAGAGCTGCGAGAGAAACTTGAGGAATGGGTTTGGCTAGATTTGACCCGGGTTGGTGGCGCTTAAGCACGTCGATCCGATCGAAAGCCGACTTCGAGTCATGATTCTTGGGAGCGCGCCTCTGACTTTTGACCGGGAGATCGGAGCCAAGTTGTCGTTGCAGCCCCTGATCTGTGGCAGCGCGATTTGAGCGAAAATGTTGCAGTTCCTGGCCTTGGACAGCGTGCTTCAGCTCCTTAACAACGAGACTTGAGCGAAGTTGCTGCAACTCCTCATTTTTGGCAGCCAGCTCCTGGTCTTTGGCAGCGAGCTCGGAGCGCAATTGCTGAATTTTTGCAGCGAGGTCCGTTTGACTGAAAGCTGTCATCCGAGCGTCATCGATCGTCCGTTCCTCGTTTAACCCAGTTTCAGCCCCCGACAATCGTTTCAGGATCTCGCCGAACGAGGGTCGATCAACTCCATCGAACTCGAGGCAAGCAAGCGCAAGATGCGCGAGTGCGGTAGCAAATACACTCTCTGGTACGCCCCACACGACCGACGTATCCAACTCCGAATCGAGCCGACCATGGTTTTTCAGCGCACGTTTCACTGCGCTTCCGAGCTCGATACCAGGCTGCTTCCCAGTCAGCAGCTCAAGCAGAATCATGCCGTACGAGTACACGTCCGTTTTGATGGAGACTTTGCCTTCCTGGTGGTACTGTGGGCAGATGTACTTGTATGATCCTGCAATTGTTTTCGTTTTGATGTAGCTGTGAACATCCACTTGAGCTGGCATGGAGCGTGTCAGACCGAAATCGGCGACCTTGGCGTGAAAGTCAGCGGCCAATAGCACATTGTCCGTCTTGAGATCCAGGTGGAACAGCGGCTGACGCGGAATGGCAGTCTGGACAAAGTGCATGGCGTTTGCAATATCGGTGGCAATGGTTCGGCGCTGCTGCCAACTCAATGCGACCATGCCACCCTTGCGATCGAGACGATCGCGAACAGAACCGTTCGTCATCAGCTCGTAGACCAAGCAGCGCTCGTTGCCTTCCTGAGCATAGCACATGATGGTGACGATGTTCGGGTGACGGAAACGCGCGTGGGCTTCCAGCTCTGACTCGAACTGAGCCACGCCTTGCATCGAATCTGCTGCCAACCGTTTGACCGCAACTCGCTGACCGCTCCACACACCAGAGTAGACGCTGCCAAATCCACCGCCACCGATGCGCCTGGACTCTGAAAACTGCGCTGTTGCTTGCGACAGAACTTGCAACGACACTCGCGGAATGGTGGTGGCGATTGATGGGATCGTTGTGACAATTCTTGAGAGTTGTGTACTTTCTATGGAAAGCTGCGATGCTGTCACCTGTAGTTCTTGCCGGCCGGATGAAATCAGTTTTTCTGCGACATGTGATGCAGCTTTTGTCGCTGTGCTTTGCATGTCACTGGACCAAGGATCCAATTGAACAATGATACTGCCAAAAGATGGGCGATCGGCAGCTTCGTCGTCAAGACACTCGAGCGCAAGCGTGACAATGTTGCTGACGCTCTGGCGCTCGACTGCATTTCGATCGAGGGCCGAGTCCAGCAACTCAATGGTGGTCTCACCGTCAACAGCTCTCCGCGCGATTGATTTCAGCCGAGTGCCGGGGTTGGCTGCAGTCACCAGCTCAAGCAAAATCATGCCAAAGGCGTAGACATCTGTCTTGGTGGTCATGCGGCCTGACTCGAGGAGTTGCGGACACATGTAGCTCACGGTGCCTCGAACATTCTGGGTGCGAATATAGTTCTTGACATCGAGATGCGTGGCAGCACGAACGAGGCCAAAATCAGAAACTTTCGCACTGAAGTGTGCGTCCAGCAGAACATTGTCGGTCTTGAGGTCGAGGTGGAACAGAACATGGTCAGGAAAGGCGGTTTGGACATAGTGCATGCCGCGGGCGACATCGGCCGCAATTCGATGGCGCTGAGACCAGGTCAGCGGAGGAGTGTCGTTTTTGCGATTCAAGCGATCGCGCACAGAACCGTTTGGCATGAACTCGTAAACCAAGCAGTATTCACCGTGGGATTCGGCATACGACAGAATAGTAATGATGTTGGGGTGACGAAATTTCGAAAGAGTGTCCAATTCCGCTTTAAATTCAGTGTAACCTTGGATCGATTTGGCGGACAGCCTCTTGATGGCAACGCGTTGGCCTGAAGGTAGCCTGGCGTCGTACACGGGTCCAAATGCTCCTTCGCCGAGCAGAGTATCACCAGCAAAATTGTTCGTGGCGGAGACGAGAGTGGCGAGAGGGACTCGTGGGATGGGTGCGTTAGGGATGTTTTGCTCGAGGAAGGCGATCCGACGATCCTTAGAAGCGACCTCGGAGCGCAATTGCTGGATCTCAGTTGCCGCTGCGATCTGAGTCAATTCGGCAGGCGATCGAACTCGCTGGGAGTTAAGTTTGCTATTACCAAAAAAAAGGTAAATTTCGCGAGAGCAAGTGAATGATCAATTGTTCGGATTTTGCTTCATGCAAAACTGAAAAACTGGCCGGCAGATTCTTACATCAATTTACAAATGGCATTACCCGTTTGTTTGAGTGCATTGATTCCAGACGTGGTGAAGAAGTTCTCGCTCAAACTGTTGTCGGTGACGTCGTAAGATTGCAGCATGACTTTGACGATTGTTAACGCATATCAAAGCAGCAATAATTACTCGAGCTCCGCCAGCGTCTTGTTCACTTTGAGCGCCTCAGCGAACGCTTGTGCACCGGCATCGCCAAGCTGGTTCTTACTCAAACTATCCATCCCTCCGTCAGTAACCAACACTCTTGAGATCCTCTGCTGCACCACCCACTCATAAACATCAGTCAAATTGAGAGGCCTTACTGGAGCCTTGTCAGCGCCTTGTTTACTTTGATTGCTTCAGCAATCGCCCGCGCTCCAGCATCGCCGATCGCATTCGTGTCCAGACTGTCTCCACCAGTGAGCACCCTCAATTCCCTGTGTTGAAATATCCACTCGCAACCATTAGTCAAATCGAGATGCTTTACCTGAGCCAAGTAAGCGTGGTATTCACTTTGAGTGCCTCAGCAATGGCCTGCGCGCCAGCGTCGCCAATATGATTCTGCCAGATACTGTTTCTCCCTTTCATCAGTGAGCACTTCATATGATCTTACTCACATGCATCAACAATGCGAGATTGCTTACGTGACCCATGTCAAGGTCGTATTCACCTTGAGTGCTTCAGCAATGGCCTGCGCTCCAACATCCCCAATCTGATTGCAGTCCAGACTGCCTCGTCCCCTCCATCAGTGAGCAGTCTTCATGCACTTGCTGCATCATTCGCTCACAGACATCGGTGAGACTTTACATGAGAGACGTCAGCGTCGTGTTCACTTTGAGCGCCTCAGCAATCGCCAGTGCTTCCTCATCACCAAGCTCGTTGGTCAAACTGTCCATCCCCACCATCAGTGAGCGCATGTCAACGTCCTCTGCTGAATGACCCTCTCTCACATGCATCAATGCATCAGTCAAAGTGCGACGCCTTACCCGATTGAAGCCATCAAGTTCCGGCCGACTTGCCCAGCAAACCACCCACCAATGCTGTTTACAACTTGACTCAGGCTGTTCTCCGTTTCGTCAGTACACACGCTGTCATCGTGCTCCATAAACTTGGGTGTTTTCTTACTTGAGCTTCCCACTTGCATTCTTGACTCTGTCGTACAGCTCGCGCTGTCTCTCGGTCATACTCTGATACGACAGCATTGGAAGATCTTACACAGCTAAAGAACCAATGACTGTCCCTTCACCCAAATGCAAATACGCCTCAAATACGACTCGATACAAATACAACCCAGTTTTCGTGTCTACTCTCTTCCAATTTGTATTCGATATTCATGTTCATCGTCGGTGAGCGAAAGCGACGGGAGAAAATGGACTTGCATTGGAGTTTTGTATGGAAATCGACACTGACTCTTCAGCTGGAAGCATGCGATATCAGGGTACAGATAGCATGATAAAAATAAATACATGTTCATAACAAAATGCGAATCGAATTGCCGGGGCACGGGAGGGGTGAGATGCGTTCAGGGGAAAGGCAAAACTCAGCAAAAAACCGTCGCCAATTCAAAACTCGATGCACTCAGCGTCACTGGTGAAATCTCGCACACTGGCAGCTTCTTGGTTATCATCATAATCGTCAACCAGCCAAGTTTCAACGCCAGCCGAGGCCATGGTCGTACTCGCAATGTATTCGCCGCCACAGAACGATCCGCGCGAAGTTTCGTCGAAAGACTCAAAGAGACCTTCACGAGACGCATCGCTTGCAGCATCCTCCACGCCGTTAAATGTCACATAATCTTCAGGAAAGTCGAAGGTGGCAGCATTTAAAGCGCTTGATGTCAGAACATTCTCCGCAGTTTCGCAAAAGTTGGAATTGGCACTGTCCTGTTGAAGAGCAAGCGCAGCTCGCACCAAGCTCACCCAAAGCAGAGAGCTTTGGCACCGAGGACAGACTCCGGATACTGGTAGAAGGTGACGGACAGCTCCATCACTTGATGTCTCATTCTCTTGTTGAAGAAAAACACGCGCCAAGCAAGTTGTATGTGCTGGTGCTTGGCAGTGACTGCACCTCAGAACAGCACCCTTGTCATGATGAGTGATGCAGACTCGACATACGCTGCATTCCTGAGGATGCAAGCTCGATCCAAGTTGCGCACTGCTCGCCGTGTCCGCTGCCAATACTGGCGTCGTTGTGACTGTGCCATCGAGAAAATCAAGATCGACAAGCCTTCCTGCTGGAGTGGACATTCTAATCACACCAAATCTGAGAGAGAGAGAGAGAGAGAGAGGAAACAGCATTCATAGAATAATTCAGGAACGTGAATTTAAGAAGGAATCATTCATGCCTCACTCTGCTCTTTCTCCCACGCTCACCTTGTTGAAACGTTTGATGGGAGGCCACGGGGCATGTTATTAAGCAGCTTCATGGCCTGCATGTTGACCCAATGCACACAAAGCGGCGTCCTTGCAAAAGCCGGTGCAGCGAGCAGATCGAGCAGTACTCTCAGTCGAGGAGTCAGATACATGCTGGATTTATGACCCAGCGTCTTTAAAAACCGGGTGCGTTCCGGATGCTGCCATGCCCATTCGAACTGTGCGTGGAGGATCAGCAAAAGGCAAAAACAGAGAACGTCAACGCACAAGTCCTAGCTAAAAACCGCGTCCGATCACGCGAATCATCCGTTTACCCTTAAAGCAGAGTACTTGTCCATAAATCCATAGACACATAGCACAAGTTGCCTGCGTTCCGAGGATTGCAAGTTAAAAGTTGAGCACTTTCGATTCCAATCAATCCACAACCATTCGATTGAGCTGTACTAGTACCATGGCTTGCGGCGATCTGTAAAGACAGCACCGCCCTTTTCCTTGCCCGAGTTGTGCTGCTTGTATCGTCGGCCTGGATTGACTGTGAATCCAATGTATGTAATGTTCTTGTACCTTTTGTTTCAAATTTCAAACAATCGCGCCAAAATGAGTCAGTCGCCCGCCATGTCCGACTGAGCACCCGCTGCCACTTGCTGTGAACACTCCTGCAATTCTGGGAGCCCTACTCACTTGGGATTGAGCGAGCGGAGCAAGTAGCAGCCGTAGAAGGGACATGGCGCCGGGTCGCCGTTCGTTGGTTCCATTGCCGCTGCTGTCGGCGCTTCAGTCGCTTTCGTCGGAGCAGAGCAGCCTCGCGATGAAGACGCCTGAGAGAGTGATCGCACCCGTGTTGGCCTTGTGGCACGCATGGAGGCAGCAGCAGCAGCAGCAGCAGATGCGCCAGAGTAGTGAGCAGCACCGAGCGATGCTGGCGGCAAATCCCGCTCATCATCATCATCGTCGCTGCTGTAGTCAAAGTTCATGCTGAAACCAAAGAAGGGAGACTGAATGAATAAATGCTTGGTTGATGGGCATTGCGATATGTCCGCGCAAGAAAAGCAAGGTGAGCTGTCAGCGAGCGGGCTGATTCATCTGTTGTGCGCTTTGAGCGTGAATTTCAACCATGAGCAACATCAAAGACGACCTCCAACATCCTCCGCACAACTCTTGAATGCTGAGCAGTTACACAAAAATGGTGATAAAATGAATTCCGACAATCAAAAAGCAGAACAGACAAAAGCAACAAAAAAACAAAACCAAAAAAAGACAACAAAACAGTGTTATTCTTGAGGGTTGTACACACTCTTCGATCTGTTGCGGTTGAGCTGCATCAAACCACAATTGGACGGTCAGTAAGAGTCATCAAAAACGCACAACCCGCCCCCCCAAAAAAACTATTCTCACCTTGCTGGAAGGCATGCTACTTCGTCGGTATACATGACCTTTCATCTTGATGGAAGGAATGGTGAAGATGGATTTGTCTAAGCAAACGCAAAAAAAAACCCCAATCGGGTTGAGCATTCGAGTGAGTGCATATCAGCAAAGACTATCAAACATTTTCAAAAGATCGCAATCCACTGACTGTCAACAAGGGTCAGAACTTCTCGTGGCAAATCGGCAAAGTAGCCATGTCGCATCGCCTCTTCGCACGTCACGCGCTTGGACGGGTCAAGCTGCAGCATCTTTTCCAGCAAATCCAACCCATCTGCGCTCAATCGGGGTGCAAACGACGACAGAGGTTGGACTGGGTATTGCGGGAAGGAAGTCGAGTATCCAGGCAGCTGCGTTTGTTGAAATCACATCCAAAAGAAAAGGGTGAGCGGTGAGTCAAAACTGAAAAAAAAAAGACTGAGCATTCACAGTCCCAAAAGACATACCTTCTCGATGTTGGGGAAGCTCTGAGGATTTGGCGTGCCACGCGTCTTGAATATTAGCAACAGCTCCTCTGTCGGATTGGCGGCAGGGAAGAGTGGCCGACCGCCGACCATCTCTGCGAAAATGCAACCAGCCGACCACACGTCGATGGACGAAGTGTAGTCGGTCGATCCCATTAACACATCCGGCGGACGGTACCAGAGCGTCACCACTTCGTTTGTAAACGTCTTGATTGGAACGCCCTTGGCGCGCGCCAAACCAAAATCGCAGAGCTTGAGCTCGCCGTTGTGGTGGATGAGCAAATTTTGCGGCTTCAGATCGCGATGCAAAATTTTCTTTCGGTGGCAAAAGGCCAACCCGCGCAAGAGCTAAAGGTTGATGAAGCACGGCGGGCGTGAGAGAGATCAAAACAGGCAGTGTCTGCAAGCTCACGATGGTCAAAGGCAATACGCGGCAAACATACCTGGAACATGTACAGCTTGATGTTGAACAAATCCAAAAATCCAAGCGACTTGTCCATGCAATTCTTGAGATCCATCGGGACGTACTCGAATACGAGAGTCAGGGATGATTCGGCGGGAATGACGTCGTGCAGCGTGACAACGTTGGCGTGCTTTAGTTCCTTGAGAAGCGTGACCTGAGAAATCACGGACAAAATCACAATTGAGCAACAAAAACTTTGGCCAAGTGATGAGATCAATGTGGACGTTACCTCTCTCAAAGCAGTGCATGGGTAGCCCTCTTCTTGCTCGAGCTTGATCTCTTTGAGTGCGACATAGTCACCTGTGATACTGTGGGTGGACAGGTGAGCAATCCTTGTTGCGCTGCCAAAACAGACAAAAAAGGGGACACTGACCAGCTCATGCCCTTGTATACGATGGCATAAGTGCCTTCTCCAAGCTTTTCCAACTTTTTGTAGCTAAACACCTGACCGAACGCCTGGTCTTGCGTTGGGGAAGCTGCCCGCTCGGAAGCCTCTGCAGCGCCCTCCTTTGTCAAGGACAAGGGCAGTGACAAGCGACGTTGAGCCTTGACGGCTGTCTCGGTTGCCGGCTGCGAGCATGAGCAAGAGGAACAATGAGCAAAAAGTCGTTCTTTTACAACGCGAGAATCGCCTTTTTTTTTTTACCTGTGCTGGCGCTAATGACTCGTTGGAGAGCGCGCTGGGCTGATGCGCGTCCTTGCGCGGGCTCTTCCCTCTGGAAACAACAGACAAAGTGAACGAAAACAGTCACCCTCGCTCGCTCGAAAATCCCCCCCCCCAAAACAAACAACAATCCACTTACTTGCGAGGCTCTTCGCCGCCGTTGAGAAAGCGCGAAGTGGTGGACGAGCTGCTCTTTCGCATGGACTTTTTGTTTGGGTCTTTTTCCTTGGAGCTAAAGGACCGCACGAGCTTGGACGCGACGGAGGTTCGCTTGGGCGAGTCTGGGACGGACTGAGTGGTGGAAGGATCGTAGGACGACGACGCGGACGAGACCGAGGACGACGACGACGACGACGCCGCCGATGCAATGTCCTCGTTGCTATTCGAGTCTGCGCTTCCGCCAGCACCGTAGGCAACGGCGAGCGAGTCGGATTCAAAGTCGAATCCAGTGCGGGCGTGAGTGGGTGAGGACGGCTCCGAGTCGCCATGTCGCTTGAGCGAGAGTCTGCGCACGAGCTTGTTGAGCAGGCTTCCGCTTCGGTCCTGCACGAAGAGGAGTGATGGGGAGTGATGGGGAGTGAGGGGATGAGTGAGATTCAAAATGGGGTGAGTGAATGCTTGTGATGGCTGCCATGATGAGAGATGACGACGTTGAATGTCAAAGTGTTTGACTGCATGAATGATGGATGGTGTGTTGAGGCAAAAGAGCGAGCGAGCAGAGAGAGAGAGAGAGAGAAGAGAGAGAGAGAGGGAATAGAAGAAAAAGAAAACAAACTAAACAAACAAAAAAAAAAAGACAAGAAAAAAGACCATCACACTGGAGACTTTGTCGTATCCAACTCGTGTTTCAACTGAAATAAATCAGATACGCGTTCCTCACAAAATGGCCAAAAACAATCGCCGAATCCTTTGTATTTCCTTTTTATTTATTATTATTATTATTATTATTTATTTCGCTTTTTTTTTTTTCTCTCCGTGTTTTCTCACTCAATGGACTCTCACTCAACTCAATCTCACTCTATGACTCTCTCTCACTCTCTCACTCTCGCTTACTCTCTGTGACTCTCTCATCTCATTGCTGTATCGTAGACTGACACACTCTCCAATAATAGCAGTCACCAACTTACCCGTTCAAAGCTCTTCTTTGGCTTGTTGCTGCCGAGGCCAGATGATGAAAACGACGCAGCAGAGGACGACGCTGCTTCGTCCAGCGCAATGTGGATGGAGATGCCGGCTGCAGCGGCCGTCGTGGTCACTGTCGTCGTCGTCGTCGTCGTCGTCGTGGTCACTGGCGGCTGCTGTGTCGGCGGCGGTGCTGCGGTGCTCGTCGCCGTGGTAGCCATCGATTTGCTTCGCTCTCTCTCTCTCGGTCTCTGTCTCTGTCTGGAGTGCTTGTATGATGATGATGTGCAAATGCTAGACTCTGCCTTGGCTTGAGATTGGCCGAGTGTGTGCTTGTGAGTGAGTGTGAGTGAGTGTGAGTGAGTGTGTGTGTGTGGAGAATCAAAGAAAGTGGATCTAAAGGGAAATAAACAAAAAAAAAAAAAAAAAAAAAAAAAAAAGAGTCCGAAAAAAACAACTCAAGAAATAGAAAAATGACTGGAATCGCATTGGAGATGGATTTTGTATTGGAGATGCATTAGAGTTGCATTAGAGTTGAATTAGAGTTGAATTAGAGTTGAATTAGAGTTGCATTAGACTTGAACTAGAGTTGGATTTGCATGGGGATTTGCATTGGGATTTGCATTGGGAATCTCGTTCGTTCGTTCTCCACTCACGCACGTCAAGCAGAGTCAACTCCAATGACCCGTTTTTTTTGGAGCTGGTGCATGCAATGGATGTACTATGGCCAAAAAAGAAACCTTCACTCAGTCTTCCCCACCTATCAAGCTTCTGAAGATGGAGCAACGCCGACGCGAAAAGTGGTCGCTCGACCCGAACAACCGCGCGTGGCAGGAGGACAAGGGCAAGTTTGGCTACAAGATGCTCAAGCAGATGGGCTGGACTGACGGCCAGGTGAGTTGTTGGAAGCGATGGAGCAAGCAGGTGGAGTGGAGTCGAGTGGAGCAGGGCCCGCGTGGTGCAGCGGATCAACGAGTGTGTGTCGCGCAATGTGGCAAACGCAGGTCGCTGGGCTATGCGTGGCCAGCTGGAGAGTGATGCTGCAGAATGCCGAGCGATGGGGGGGGGCTGGCTGTCCGATGGCAGCGGCGGCAAGTGATGGAGAGCGAAGTGAAAGCGAGAGCGGACCTCGTGTGCTCCACAGTCCCACCGACACTTGAGCTCGCTCACTCAGCACGGACCACTGGCAATACAAATACGATACATGCATCAACAACACACAAACGCTGGATGAGACAAAGAGCGAAAAAAACAAGAGCGAGAATGTGTGAGCTTCCACCCTTGAACTCACTTGAACTCGCTCAGTCAGTCAGCATGGGCCAACAACATGCAACCATTCGACATTGCACCACTTTTGCACAACCAATCTCATCCCCCCCCCAACACAATCACGCAGCTGATTTTTGACCATCTGCGGCGTGGCGCATTGTTCATGTTGTTGTTGGTTACAACTCGGACTGACCAACGTTTCAACCCTCTGCTCTGCTGACAGGGCCTCGGTAAGGACGAGCAGGGATCGTCCTCGCATGTCAAAATCCACCAAAAGAAGGACAATTCGGGCGTCGGTGCCAAGAAAAACCACGACGACGACTGGATGGAGACGCAGAACGCATTCAGCAGTCTGCTCGCCACCCTCAACAAGAACGTTGCGCTCGGCGTCGACGCAAAGTCAGAGGAGGCAAAGCGCCAAGCAGAGGAGTCTGCACTCACCCCGTCCATGCGTCTCGCGGCCAAGGCGCGCCAGTCACGCCGCATCTTTTATGGCAAGTACGTCCGTGGCAAGGACGTTGGCGGCTACACTGAGACGGACATGGCGTGCATCCTGGGCATTTCGTCAAAGTCAGCCACGCCTGCATCGTCGCAACCCGTGTCAGAGGCGCCCTCGAGCGGCAGCGACAGCGATAGTGATAGCGACAGCAGCTCCAGCAGCAGCTCATCGTCCTCATCGTCGTCCGACTCATCTTCTTCATCCTCCTCCTCCTCCTCCTCCTCCTCCTCTTCATCATCATCATCATCGTCGTCAGACAGCGACTCGGATCACGACCGCGCACCGCTGCGCAAAGCCAAAAAGCTTCGCAAGTCCAGCAACGAGGCAAAGCCAGAGAAGAGCAAGCTTGCCGACGGCGAAGAGGTCATTGGTGGAATCAAAACGCACACGAGCAGCGTGTCCATGTCAGACTACTTTGCCCAGGCAAAGCGACGCCTGATGGAGGCGAATGGTGCCGCCCAGCAGCCAGCAACTCCCGATCGCAGCTCCACGTCTGCCAGCTCCAACAAGAAGGCGGGCTACTCGAACTTGGTGGAATCCGCGAGCAGCAGCCCGGCATCCTTCTCGTCGCACCTGGGACTCGGTGCTCAAAACTTTAGCCAAACCGCAAACACCCATCCCACTCGCATGGATGTGGATTCTGACAGCGGTAGCGAGAGCGATGACGAGTCTGATGCCGACACGAAGAAGCCCGCCAAAAAGTCGAGCAAAAAGCAAGACAGCAGCAGCAGCAGCAGCAGCGGCAGCAGCGATGATAGCAGTGACGACAGCAGCGATTCGAGCGACGAAGAGCAGAAGATTGTCAACAAGTCCTCCAAAGATAAGCACGCCAAGAAGAGCAAGGCTACAAAATCTGTCGAAACCGAGTCCGCAGCGAAGAAGGAAAAGAAGCAGAAGAAGCACAAGAAGAAGAGCACCGACAAGTCTGACAAGGCGCCGTCCAAGAAAAGCTCCATTTCCGCGTCCATTCCTCAACTGGATGCATCCCCTGCCGGTGCCCTTGGCAGGAAGCGAAAAGCAGAGCAGCCGCTGGAGGCTTCTGGAAGCGACCGCAAAAAGGTTATTTTGGAGGTCGAAGAGCAGCGCAAGCCTGTCGACAAGACCGACAAGAAGGACAAGAAGGACAAGAAGGACAAGAAGGACAAGAAGGACAAGAAGGACACGAAACTAGAAAAGAAGGAAAAGCCAATCGAATCCGACTCGGCCAAGAAATCCAGCAAGAAGAACAAAAAGGACAAGGAAACGACCGTCTAAACCAACTTGCTTTTTTGATGATGGTCATGATTTGTTGCGAATGTTCCCCCATGATTTGTGCGAATTAAACTACTCTTCCGTTTTGCAATCTTTGAATGAAATGAATTCCAGGAGTGTGATGAACGATTCATTATATTACAACCGACATCACAACTCGAGATTTCCAACACGCTTCCGCCGAGCCAGTGGGGGTGTAAAGACATCTGTGGAAGCGGAAGGTGCAGGCCGTTGCGGAGAGCTGGAGGACGAGCTTTGGGTCGAAAATGCCATCGCTGGAGTCGTGAGAGCCCCGCTCGAAACGCCTGTGTGAGCTGCCGGGCGCTTCCAGCTGTTGCTGAGGAGATACGACGCCGAGCCCTTGCGCAAGTAGAAGAGCATGTAGGGCTGTGCAGCTTGGACTTCGGCAAAGGTGGCGGAAATCACCCGGTGATCATTAAACAGCTGCCAAGAGGCTGTGTGCCAGAAGAATTCATGAGAATGAGAAACGCAAAGGGACACTCTGTTGCCAAACATGCAATGTCATGTGCATTACCCGATTCAAAGTCATAGCAATAGTTGGTGTAGTGTCCCGCAATGATGCTGTGAAGAGCAAAGCAAGCCCAAGGTGAGGTTCTCGACAAAAATCACATTGGCCAAATCTGCAGAGGACATACCCCTTTCCGAGGTGCTCCACGACACTGAACAAAGAGTACAGGTGCGAGCCAGGCGGTTCGGGATGGCCGTCGGAAGTGTACACGAAGGGGGACATGTCCAATTCTGCTGGGAACGAAAGAGGGAGGGTGATCTTTTCGCACGCCTGCCAGCTGAGCCAGCGGAATCGCTTCACGTGGAAGACTAAAATGACTGGGAGCTCTTCAAAGCGCGTTTTGAGCGAGGCGTACTGCAAGCTTGGCACAGCACTTGCTCCGCGCGCATTCGTGGCTGTCGCTTTCCGGCAGTTCTCGCAGTCGTACGACTGGCCATCGAGAAGGTGCGAACAAGTAAAGTGCTCGATCAGGTCTAATCAGACAACCGCAGACAAACAACAAAAACAAAACCCACAATGACATGAGCATCACCGTGCTCAAACCCCCTCCCCCGATTCAAGTTTGCAGCCGGTACGACTGACCGATCAAAGAGTGGTGTTTGGTTTCTTCGTGGCGACGTTTCATGGAAAGTCGAGGGCCTTGGATTGCTTCGACGGTTGGAGTAGCTGGACGATTGTTGGGGACGAGCGGAGAAAGAGAACGGGTTGGAGTCGGAGGTGCCGAAGCATCGCGCTGCAGCAGGGCCACCGCAGGAGACATTGGTGGTGCGCGGCCAAGGGCAAGAGAGCTGTTTCTGCGAAGAGCGAGCGGTGCAAACGAGAGGACAGGATCGGCGAGAATGGGCGTCGAAGGCGGAATGCGCTGCTCAGCGCCTCCAGCGACGCGGGTCATTAGTGGTGACGCAGGAATGGCAACAGGCTCTCGAAAGGAGGCACTTCGAGTGACTTTGGCAGGGCTGGTATTGGGAAAATCGAGCCCCACGTCCAGAAAGTCGTCTGATCGCCAGGTTCGATTGTGGCATTTGTGGCAAATGGTCTGAAGGAAAAAAAAACCACAAAGCGTGATAGGGTCAGAGCACAGCTCGCTGAGACGACACGCAGCTCATCTCGAGACGTACCTCGTTCCGGAACTTGCCCAGAAAGAGTCGGGAAACAATATCAACCGGTCTGACTGCAGGAATGGATGCTGAACGAATAAACGCGCGCTCCAGTTGAAGCGCCTTCAATGAATTCTCCAGTGCGGAAACGATCGAACTGAGACGATCAACGAGCAAACGAAGGAAGCAAAACAAACAAACAAACAAACAAACAAACAAACAAACAAACAAACAAACAAACAAACAAACAAACAAACAAACAAACAAACAAACAAACAAACAAACAAACAAACAAACAAACAAACAAACAAACAAACAAACAAACAAACAAACAAACAAACAAACAAACAAACAAACAAACAACGCAATTAAGCCCAAGTTACTCAAAACAACATCTCGAAAATGACGCGCCGCACAAGTAAAACTCCTGGCAATCCTGTTGCTCGTAGCCATGAAACGCAGGCATGGAAGCCCATACAGCTCGAAGCATGGCGTGCGGTGTTACGACGGCCTGGAAAAGTTCAATTGAGCATCAAGGCGCAAAAGGTGGACCAACGACGCCATGTAAAATTCCCCTACCCATTTTCCAGACCACATGATTCTCATTAACGAGTGCAGTGCTTGTAGAATCGTTGTGGGACTGGAATGCCGGCGTTCGCGCAGCATCCAATCAATCGCAAGTGAGTACAAAAACGAAAACAAAATCTACCACTGCCCAAGCTTCTTCCACTTTCGACAGACTCACTCAACCGCGCCGACTTCGGCTTCTTGTTTGCTCTTCCGCTCGGAAATTCGGGTCGACATGATGGTGTAGCATTCCGTAGTGTCCACACGCCTCAAGGGGCCGTGGCCTGAATCCCCTTGACTGTTTCGTCGCATGGAGGGATAGAGGGCGAGGATGCAATCTCGAAAAATGGGAGCATGGCTGGCAAAAAGCGAACATGCTATAGTCAGTGCGACAAGAAGAAAAAATACGGACGCAAACCCAAACGGACAACCTTTTTTTTTTTTTTTTGGTTACCTCAAGGACTGGAGAATCACATTCATAAAGCAGGTATTTCCAAGGTTGCGCAGTCCAGACTGGCCGGGTGCCACGGCTCTACGCTTCATGGCACGCACTTTAGAGAGCGACAAGTGAGCTAAAAAGCGACAGATGACAGCTACCAAACCAAAACAACAACAACAACAACAACAACTCACAAGGAGAGTGGACGGGTGTGCCGATGGGCGTCATCAGTGGAGTGGCAATCCAGGAATAATCCTGGTCATGCGCGCTGGGCGGCTTTGAAGGCGTCCTCAGAGAGGCAGGCACACTGTTGTCGGAAGGCGGAAAGAACGGCCCATCCGATCGGGATTTGTCCACCAGCGCCCTCCAGGGTAAGAATGTGCGTGACATGAGCCAGAAGGCATAGTGCTTCTCTGCGGTAAAACGCCTGTCCGAGTCTTCATCCTCGTCGTCGTTGCTGTAGTTTGGAAGGATGCATGTCAGAGACGCGCGTTCAGCAAAAAAAGCAAAAACGAAAACAACCGGCTTTCGTCGTCCCGCCCCCGACTTCCATCTCTGCATATTCTCTTGCAAACACGCATAAACTTCACCTGGGATTGAGGTCAAGCAGCGACTCGTCGGAAGAGAGAGCGAGAACGGTAGCTCGTCGACTCAAACCGCCGACAACGGGTTCCGAAACGCGTTGTGTAGCAATCGCCGAGAGGGACTCGCACAGCTCGAAAAGCTCCGGCAGCCGGTCGGTGACTGCGATGAATGCATGGCATGCATTGCTACGACCATGGAAACGAATGAGAGCGAGTTGTGGGTTGCAACGAATCACGAACGAGCAACCAATGCAAAATTGCTGCTGCTTACCAGTGAACAGTGCGTTGATTAATCTCCAGGCCAATCCAGTGATGCATGCTCGCGCAGTGTGTATGAATGTGTCCCTGTGCCGCACTACCAGCCAAAACCATGCAGAAATCCGCGATGAGTCGAACAATCCAAGCATTGAATCATCGACCCGAAAAAAGCAATCCATACCTGCCACAGCCGATGTAGCCACAAGATAGACAAGCCTGTGCATATTGCCGAGCCAAAGATCACACATCATCACAACAGGCATACTGGGTGAGTGTGGTCGTTGCAAGCCAATTGGAGCGACTGGGAGCGAGAGATTTCAACTCGACTCCCAACTCGACTCGCAGCTCAAACATCAGCTGTCGGACGTTGAACAGCCTTACCCAGACACTCTCTGTGGTGCCACACTCGGCGCAGCTCCAGTTGCGCGGGTTGAGGATGGCCTTGACGCGGCCGCGCGTGAGTCGCAGCGCATGGACGTGCTCGCAGTCACTCAGCGCGGTCAGCAGCGACGACGCTTGTGATGCCGATGCCGTCTGATCCTGATGATCCAGCAGTGGCTGCTGCGGTTGAGCGGCTCGTGATGCGCGCGTCGCTCTTCGCTGTGCTTGTTGGATTTGCGCGGGAAAATCGTTGTTGCTTGAATTGGCAGTGGTTGCACCACGACCACCACCACGAGCACTACTACCCGCAGCAGCAGCAGTAGAAGGAGCAGCAGAAGGAGCAGCATGGATGGAGGACGACAAGCCAGAGCCAGAGCCAGAGCCAGAGCCAGAGCCAGACGCAGCTGCAACACGACTCCTTGTCAACCGCTGTCGCTCCATTTCCCCAAATGTCAGCTCAGCCAAAAGCACGAAACAACAAAACTAGAAATCTGGATCTGAGAAAACTCAAGGCCAGAACTTTTGTGTTGAAACTAAATAAACAAAGAATGACTTCAACCAATACTCTTTGATACAAAGCACCAGCATCAACTCAAACAAGATCAGCCAAACGGTTAAAGCCCACTTTGGAGCCAGCACGCTCGGCCCGGTCAGCCTCCGCTCGTTGCTTGTCCAGCAGCGCTGATGGGCTGTCTGCCAGCTCGAGCGACGGGCGCCGCCGGGCTTGGAGATCGCGCCACTTTTTCAAATCCGCCTCGGACATGGGTGGTGGAGTGATGCTGGTTCGCCGGTTGCGGAAGAGATTGACAATCGGACCGGGCTTGCCTGCCATCATGGACGACGACGACGCCGAGGACGGCGCAGTCGGTGTCGTCTTGGCGGCGTTTTCCAAGGTGGCCTGCGGGCTGTTGAACTTTGTACGCAGGTCCTTGACCGGGCCACGGATGCCCGAATCGCGACTGGCGGGTGCAAACAGGGCGGCAAAGCTGAGGACGGCGCCAGACTCGTCCACAAACTTGTTTTGACGGGACGGAGGGTGGTGGAGCGTTCCCGTGGCCGTCATCTCGCGCGCCTTGCGCATCGAGACGTACTGCTGAACCTCGAGCGTGTCTGCTGTGCCGGAGCCTCCTGCCTCCGTGCCAGATACGCCGACCTTGAGTGTTCCAAAGGCACCCAGCTCGCCATTCGAGCCGGAAGCGGCGGGGGCATCTCCCACAGCAACGTTTGTGCCAGCCCCCTCCAGACCTGCCTCTGTGACTCCAAACGGCTGCCCGTCCGTCGGAAATTGCATGCTCCGGCGATTGGGCTTGAGCGTCAATTCACCAGCAGGACCGGAAACGACCACGCCAGGGCGCGGCGCAACCAACAAGTACGTGACAGTCTCGCCCAAGCCCTTGATAAACATGGCGGGGCGTTGCTCAAAGGTAAAAGTGTTCTTGAGCACTTGGTAAGCAGCATCGCTCACGCAGACGCGGCCAGGCACGCCGTTGCTTTCCATGCGACTCGCTGTGTTGACAGTGTCGCCCCAAAGGTCGTAGGCAAACTTGCGCGTGCCAACCACGCCGGCCGTGACGGGTCCAGTGTGAATGCCCATGCGCATCTGCAAAGGCTGCCCGTCCACGCCCGTGAGCTTCAAGGCCATTGCACGCAAGGCAAAATGGGCAACCCGTTCGACGTGGTCTTCGACGGCCGTAGGAACGCCGCACGCTGCCATGTACGCGTCGCCGATCGTCTTGATCTTTTCCAGGCGGAAGGCCAGAGCAAGGCGATCCATCTCGGTGAAGAGCTGATTCAACATGGTCACAACGGCGGTCGGTGGCATGTTGTGTGACATTGAGGTGAAGCCCACCACGTCCGAGAAAAAGACGGTTGCCGATTTGTGCTCTTCAGCAATGAGCTCGACCGAGTGCTGCAGTCGTTGTGCGATCGACTTTGGCAGAATGTTGTGGAGCAGCGCCTCTGCACGCTGCTTTTCTTGTGACAGCTCGTCGGTTCGCTTGCTGACTTGTTCCTCGAGGTGTGACGAGTAAGTTTCAAGCTGTGAATGGGAGGTGGGGTGACGACGATAGGTGGAGTGAGAGGGTCGTTTCCCCACAGACAAAAAAAAACAAAAACAAAAACAACAACAAAAAAAAACAACAAAAAAAAAACCCCAACCACAGCGAATGGCGAGAGAATAAACGCTTACCATGGATGCCATGTTCTCCATAATTGGGCGTTTGGGCATGAGAGTTAACAGCATTCTTGTGGTGAATGAGAAGGTGGGCCGAGTCTGAGGATTGGTGTCTTGACAACTTCGAAGCAGCTGCAAGAAAAAACAGAAAAAAAAACCCAACACAGTCAGCCGCAGCAAAAGCACAACCGATCAAGTCCCGATAACAAGAAACCTACCATCAAAAAGTCATTCTCGCGCTGGTCCAGGGCATCCATGTCGAGGAACGGACCATCAAGGGAATTGCAACTGGCAGTCATATCGAGCGCACGGGCGGACGACGTGCTGAGCGGGGTGAGCTCAAAGGTCTCACTGGCACCGGCTCCCAAAGACTCGCGCGTGGCAGGCACGCCGGCTAAGGACGCGGTTGGGCCGGCGGTCGTCGCGGTCGTCGCGGGACCCAACCCGAGCTTTTCGCGCTGCTTTGTCATCCGAGCCTCACGCTGTTCTGGGCCTTCTCCGCCGACGAGCATTTCAAACATTACCGTGCCAAAGCTGTGCACGTCGGCTTTAAACCAGTCAATCTCGGACGGAAGCGTGGAAGTCTGACCAAACTTTTTCCAAATCATCCGCGCCTGATGCACCCAAGTGAGCACTTCGGGCGACACCCATGTGAGCTGATCCTCGTCTTCGTTCAGCAGGTCGTCAGGCAGCAAACTTGACAGTCCAAATCCTGGCAAAAAAAAAACCAAAACAACAACAACAGGTACGGCAAGAGGAAATTGAGTACGCAAGCCTCGCGCCATTCTCGCGCACCCCCTCCCATCCGACCTTTACCTGTAATCTTGCACACAAACCGATTGTCGACGAGGACATTGGCACTGCACAAATTCCGGTGTGCGACCTTGTGGGAGTGCAAAAAGTCCATGCCTTTCGAAATGTCGAGCGCCATGGATGCTTTGAAATCCATGTCGAGTGGAATGGACGAGGCTTCCAGCAAGTTTTGCAAAGACCCCTTGGCAATGTACTCCATCACAATGAAGGCTGTTGGTGGGAGCGTTGCTCCGAAAAACTCCACAATGTTTGGGTGCCGTAGCTCTCTGTTGTGCAATGGGTTGTGGGTGTGTTAGTGGGATTGTGGTTTAGCGAGAGAGAAGAGACAAAACAAACCCATCATGTCAGTGCAAGACTGATTTCACGAGCACACCACGGCATTCGATAGAGCGACGCTCTTTCCCCCCTCCCTGCCATACCTGAGCTGAATAAACTCGTCGATTGCCTCTTTGGAGTATCCCTTGGATGGTACGGCAGTCGTGGAGGTGGCGGACACGGCAGTCAGGCGCGAAACGGCCAGACTGGTTCGCCGTGGTGTAGGCGAAGCAGGCGACGAGTTGTTTCCGAGTGGCGAGAGCGGCGTCATGCTGCTATTGGACGAGCCTGCAAGGCCAGTGACCGAGCCATTCGCAGTAGCATTGTGGTTGGAGGAAAGCAGCAAGTCCACGTGTGTTAGAATGACACGCTGCTGCTTGAAAGTGGCTAGAGACGAGACTGCGTCGTGCGGATCAATGTCGTACAAATCCGCCATGCTTAGCTGCCATTGACGATGGATTTCGCGCTTGAGCTTTTGGCGCTGATGCGAGTTGCGCCAAACGAGCCAGAGCAAGAGCGCGACAAACCCAAGCACGCAAACGCTGGGAACCACAATGTAGGCAACCAAGAGAGGATCAAAGTTTGAGGATTCCTGTGTGTCGGTCTTGGCCATTGGCATAAAGTCCTGCCATACCTGGTCGTTGGCACGCAGCCAGTCGCATGCAATATCAGCAATCAACCCAGAAGTGTGGGCGCTCGTGGACGGCGGCAGTGGAGGGCTGGCAAGGGCATCCCAGTTAATGCTGTGCTCTAGCGTTCGGCTATGCTCGCTTTGGCGCCGCCGGTAATACGCGCTGGTGCTTGGGAGAGGATACGTTGTTGCAAACAGGTCGGCGAACGCCGAGATGGCGGCTCCGTCCGGCGTTGCCGCCAGCTGTGCAAGAAGAGAGTTTATCAGAGCGTCGTCCACTTGGAAGAGTCGCAACAGCGTGTACGCCTCGGGATGCCTGGATTCAAGTTGCGCCCAAAGAGCCTTGCTCAGCACCACGGCGGGAAAGTCGCATGCAACGGTGCCCGACGGAGGAGATTCAGTGTTGCCATTGTAGCAGGCCGGCGTGTAAGATGGGAGAGCCACACGAGTCAAATCCCCAGCAGCGACGTGTCGAGAAGGCTCCCAGTACTGCAACAGGACTGGAGTGGAAGCAGTGACGTGCTGATCAACGAGATCCGTGAGCGTTTCCGCATCGAGGTAGACGACCGACAGATTGAGTTGCAGGTTGGCTACCAGTTGTGCAGCCACACCAGAGTCCCAGTTCGGAGGTCCGTGGTAAAAGTCACGGCAGAAGCTGGTGTCTTGAGAGCACAAGGCTGACGTGTAGCGTCCGTCGGTGCAGTAAGAATAGGACGACGTGTCGCACAGAAACAGGTCTGTGGACGAGTCTACGGACGCTGTCGTGGAATTGAATGCCGGAAGCAAACCAAGACCAGTTTCGGTCTGAAGAAACCTCCAATAGTCGAGATGCAAGGCGGGATTGGCCGCAATGGCCGATGTGGAAACAAACCAGCCGCTTCGACCAACAAACCCAATGCTGCCGACATCGTCCACGGTGCGAAGCACGCTCACAAAGTTGGTGTAGTTGAGTGCCGTGTTCGACGCTGAAATGGCCAGGTTGGCGTGCGTCGTGCCAGACGCAAGCCTTGCCAGGGCCGAGCTCTCGGAGAGGTGCCGTAGAATGCGCACATCGTAGCCAAGCGCATCCCGGAGAAGAATGGCCGCCATGGTAGTGACGAGCCGGTGTGCGTCAGATTGCGGCTCGTCGAGGATGATGGTTTGCTGGCGTGCGGTGACGTGCTCCAAGGATGGGAAGTCGTCAGGACTCAAACACCGTGGCAATGACGGCGAGAAGGGGATGGAGGCATACGACGGAGGCGAGGCAGCAGCAGCATCGATCCGGCACGACAGCGCCAAAAGTAGCAACGCGAGCGTGCCAACAACAAGCAACACACCCGAGCGAGCGAAAGCTCTTCGGTGGCTCTGGTACGCGTTCTGACGTGGCGCTGCCATGCTTGTGGCTTGGACTTGCCGAGTCTTACGTCGTCAGAGTTGTTCACAAAGAACTTTTGTTGTACTGGTTTCTCAGAATCTCTTGGCAGAGTTTTTGTCTTTGATGCGCGGGTCTCTGTTTTGTGGCCTCTTCTATTGAGCACACACCGGTGCAAGATGATCTGTCTGCAACACAGCATTGCAACCAGAACCGCTTTGTGAGTGAGAGCAAATGAGAATGAATGGATGGATGGGCGGTTTGGTGGCTCAGTTGGCTCAAGTTCGCATTGCATCTGGCACATGTTGCTCAATGGAGTGCCAGCCCGCTCTTTCTTGCTCTTTGGGAACTGCAGCGGACCACCCAACAGTGGAAGCAGACACGAGGCAGCTTTGAGTGAAGCAGCTGCGTGAATGGAACACCCACTCAAAGCATCAGACCAAACGAAAGCTCTGTCTCTCTCTCTCTCTCTCTCTCTCTCTCTCTCTCTCTCTCTCTCTCTCTCTCTTCCGCGCTTCCAATCACCCGCATCACTCATCCACGCATCCCTCCGCCTCTCTCAAGTCAGACAAGTTCAGGTGGAATGGAGCAGCAGTGCGACCAACCCCTTCCCTCAACCCCTTCAACCCCTTCAACCGCATCCACAACAAACAGAGCAGCCGCCCCTCCATCCATCCATCCCCGCACTGCAACATGCCATTCCGCAAGTCGCTTTTGCTTCAGAGTGTGTCGTGCCTCTGCTTCAGTGGGATGAGGTGTTGGAGGCGGGGGGGGGGCAGAGAAGGGATGCGGAGAGCGGTGTGAGCAAGACAGCCAGTTATGAATGGCTGCCGCTGAATCGTCCTCCAGCGTTCGATGCTGCGACCAAAGGGGGGGGGATGTGGGACAAGAGACCACGGTGCTTTAGGTCCCCCCAAATTGGCGCGATTGGATGGAGAACGGTTGGGCTGTGACTCACAGCGAATGATGCAAAACAAAGATGGAAAAGACTGAGAGATGACACGATCAACAGTCACAATGCTCCAATACAAATGTGGCTCAGAAGGTGAGGACAGGTCGTAGGATTTGCACCAGAGAACACACAGTCGCTCATGAGGGAAGGCAGCAAGGGAGGGATGGAGACGATTTGCGACCAAAGGATGAGGAACAGAGATCGCGATCGCTCAGAAAACGACGTCCATGGCACATCTCTCTTTTGCGTCATTCGCATGGAAGTACCAATTTCGTAGTGAATTTTGAAATGGGCGGGGGGGGGGGGCAGCGTTTGTCCTATTGGCACGCGCGCATCCGCTTTTGGCTTGACGCGATCGGAGCTTTTGTATCCACCCCCTGAGATTCTTTGCCTCGCTGCGATAGTTACTGAGTTGTCGACCATGCAATTGCGACTGGTTGATACATTCTGCGCCAATGCCTCATTGCTCCAAAAACACTTGCCTGCACGACCCAGCTTCGATCGCTGGCGTACGTCTGTCGAGCGCCCAGAACTCGCGCGATGTTCCCGACACGCGAACTCACTACCCAAGCGTGCGATTTTGAATCCCACGGGTTTTTGGATTGTCAGAGTCATCATTCCGCGGATTCTCAGTTCGCGCGGGTTGTTCGATTCGATTCCCGGTTCAAAGCGATCAGAGGCAGCCTCGATCCGGACGAACCAAGCGAGATCTCAACTGCGCTGGCCGTGCTCGATGACTTGCAATCCGTTATCCAAAATGCGATGTCATGCCATGCCGCGTTGCCATTGCGTTGCCACAAAAAGCCATGACTCGTCGTCGTCGGATCACTCGTTTTTCGTTCGTTGATCCGTCCGTCCGTGTGTCCGTGTGTCCGTGTGGCCTGTCTTTTTAAAATGCGTTAAAAATGCCCAACCCACATTACATTTTACAATCCAGCCCTATTCTCAATAAAACCCCAACACGGAGATTTTATTGACAGGCGTGTGCGGGCCGCTCAGTCGAAATCCAAAAACTCAAATCTCTACTTGATCCACTTTCAGTCATCTCAACGCGAGTCCGGTTTTTGCAAGTGGAGCGAGACAAGCAGAGTGCCGTGAGCGAGTACAATATGGCGTCGAGTGGCAATGGAGCAGCAGCAGCAGCAGCAGCAGCAGCAGCGGCCCAACGCGGGAGACACGTGCGGGGCGGGAGTGCATTGGCGCACTTGGGAACGTCCGTGCCGTCCATGCTGACCGCTCCGCCTCGGACGGACACCATCCATGATGATGATGATGATGATGATGATGATGACAATGATGATGATGACGCCGGTGGAAGGGCCAGTGACAAGCGCCCGTTGAACTCGAGGAGCAGCAACGGCAGCAAAAGCAGAGTCGCTCGACCGTCGCCGCTGTCGTCGTCTGCATCAGCATCAGCAGCATCAGCATCAGCAGCAAATCCAAAGCAGCATGGGATGAGCGGATGGGCAGGCGCAACCACCACCGCAGCAGCGAATGCGAGTGGCCACAGCAGCGGCGCAGCAGCAGAGCCGAATGGGGCGAATGGGGCGAATGGTGATGACGGAGCGGCAGATTCGGCGGCAGATTCGGCGGGATGGCCACACGACAGCGACCGCCGCCGCCGCCGCCGCCACGTCAACGAGCAGCAGAGCACCGCTACCACCGCTACCACCACTATCACGACCACTGTGCAACGGCGGCATCCACAGAGCAGCAGCAGCAGCACAGCCATCGCGACTGCGGAACCGAGCGACAGCAGAACGAACACGAACACGAGCAGCACGAGGATGATGAACGGGCGAGTCGCCGGCAGTGTGTATGAGGTCATGCACACCACCAACCACCACAAGGATGGCAACGACGATGACGATGACGACGACATGCAGGATGATAATGCCGCGATCGCATCCGAACAGCCGCTACTGCAGACGACGACGACGCCAGCCGGATCACCCTCAAACCCGGCCAATCTCACCGCAGCATCCGAACCGACCAGTCCACCGCCGTCCAAGCTCAACATGACCATCATGATTGCAATATTCATTGCGCTGTTTGCCAACTCGGTCACCATGACCATGCTATTCCCGTTCGTCGGATTCATGGTCCGCGACTGGCACATCGTCTCGGACGAGAAGGAGCTCGGTAATGTTTCCGTTGAATGTCCCAGCGTGTGCATCGCGAAACCGTCGACTCACCTCTCTCGTCATGCCCAATACATTGTCTACATGTGTGCCAGGGTACATTGTCGGTTTGATCGCATCAAGTCTGTTCGTGGGTCGTGCCGTTGGCAGGTTTGTGATTGTTTGTGTTTGTTGGTGGTGGGTGGTTGCTGTCAGGCACATGCAGTCGACTGACTCATAAACGACCACTCTTGCTGTTCTCCTTCTCCTTGGAATTTTCAATCTTGGGGACGACGTGCAGCTATCCCTGGGGCGTGGTGGCGGATCGCTGGGGCAGAAAGCCAGTCATCTTGATCAGCATGCTTGCGCTCGCAGTGAACACTGCCTTGTTCGGAGCAAGTAGTAATCTGACCTGGGCGCTGTTGACTCGCTTTGCCACGGGTGCTTTCAGCGGCTTGGTTCCTGCGGCAAAGGCCGTCGCAGGCGAAATATCAGACGTCCACACCCAGGGCGCAGCCATGTCCATCATTTCCATCGCCTGGAGCGGCGGCATGGTCATGGGCCCAGCAATCGGAGGTGAGAATTGAATGTTGGTTGGCAAAGTGTGATGGGCATTCGTGCCCTGAGCGTTTGAAGCTAAAGCGCGTCAATGCCTACTCTGTCTCCCAACTCGCTCAGTTTTTTGCTTTCCGTTTTTGTCGCAACAGGCTTGTTGACCCATCCCGCCGAAAAGTGGCCAGAGCTGGTGTCTCCCGATTCCATTTTGGCCAAGTACCCCGCGTTCCTTCCTTGCATTGTCAGCTCGATCATTTCCACGGTTGGTCTGATCGCCGTTGCCATCTTCCTGCCCGAAACCCTCAAGCGCAAGGCCAAGGTTTCATCGTCATCCGCAGCCTCCGAGTCCAACTCGATGGCTATGATGACATTGCGGCGCAAAAAGCGCACCGGCGCAAAGTACCATCGACTCGAGGACGCCAGCGAGACGGATGGAAGCGATTCCGAGGACAAGAGAGTCGCTCGTGCACATGCAAACAGCGACGACGACGACGACGATGAGGAGGAGGACGTTGCTGTCTTTGAATCCACCTCACCCTCCAACAAAAAGCCAAGCTCTCATCCACCCAAGCCGATTGTCGACCCAATCAGCAACAGGCGGTGTTGCGGTTTGCTCAAGCGTTCGAATAAGCCGGACAGCGAATTGATAGCCATGCTCAAAGATCCCGACGTCATGCTGCTCAACGCTTGCTATGGTCTGTACGGCTTTGCGGGCATTGTTTTTGACGAGGTGAGTGTGGTTTTGGTTTGGTTTCAAGTTCTCTTCCGTTGATGCGTGTGTGTAAGCAATTTGGCATTCGCACTCATCTCCTCGCTCTCCCCGTTTCCCACCTCACCTGCGCGCCGGTGGATTGCTTTGATTGTTGGTCTACCATCAGGTTTCTGCTCTTTGGTTTATTGCACCAATCAAGGCTGGTGGCCTCGAGTACGATTCCTCCACGATTGGCGGCCTTTTGCTCGTGATCGGACTGGCAATGCTCATCTGCTCCCTCTTTCTATTTCCGGTGCTGGAACGCCGCTTTGGCACGCTTTATACGTTCGAATTTATGTGTCTTGTGACGGTGGTCCTCGTACCGCTCTTCCCCTCACTGGCATACCTGGTCAACCAGCCCGGCCTGCTCTTTGTCTCTCTGGTGGTTGTAGGAGTCGCCATTCGCGTCTCCATGAGTGTGGCGTTCTCGGCCATCAACGTGGCAATCAACAACTCTGTGTACCGCCACCAGCGTGGTACTGTCAACGGACTCGCGATGAGCCTCAACGCCATGACCCGCGCATTGGGGCCTGCTTGTGGCGGCGCCCTCTTTGCCTTCTCGCTCACCTTTGATCGGTTCCCCATCAACGCGAGCCTCGTGTTTATCATCATCGGCATATGCTTTGGCTTGAGCGTGTGGCTTTGCGCCATGGTATCCACCTCGCTCAACAAGCCGAAAGACGAGAGCGTCTTGGACCGGCAAACCGCCGCAGAGCAAGACTCGGAGCCTTGATGGCATCATAAAATTTTTTGTGCTCGCTCGATCAATTCTTTTTGGTCACCATTGTTTTCATTAAAAGCTTTTTCGCGTTCCATTAAGAGGTGGCCGGAAAAAAACAAACCAAAAATCCAGACAAGCAGCACAACCACTGATCACACAACACCGAGAAGTGATCGATACACATGCAGTGTGTGAATGTGGATGCAACGAGTACCGTCTGAAACAGTGCGAGTAAAAGCAAAAAAAACAAAAAAAGCAAAATAGAGGACTGCTCCCAAAAAAGGAGCGTGACAACCACTTTTCTCAGTCCTTTTTTTTTTTTTTTTTTTTTTTTGTTTCCGACCTCGCTTCGTTTTCTGCCTGACTTGCACCCCCCCCCTTTGCCTGTCTTGAAACCCACTCGCTGCCCCTGCTTTCTCTGCCCGGCTCGCGTTCGTGCCGTCCGTTCGTTCTCGACTTGGCTCTCTGGTGAGTGATGATGAATCTTTGACTGTCTCCTTTTTTTTTTTTTTTTGGTTTCTTGTCTTCTGGCTGTCTCGCCTCCTTGCGCCCGCACCGTGCACCCCGGGCCAGCTGCCCGCAGTGGGGCTCGCCGCTCCACGTCCTGTCCTTCTCTGACCACGAGCGTCGAAGCTGCGCTGGCGTTGGTGGGAGCGACAGCGCGCCTCGTCCGCCTGTCACTCACTTCCTGAGCTCTCGGCGGCTTTTTTTTTTTTTTTTTTTTTTTTTTTGCTTTCCCCCCATGCTGCTGCCGCCTGTGCCTCAAAAGCCAACGAGCGAACAGCACACTCGTCTTTGCCGTTTGCTCCTTTTGCGACACACCCCCCCTCTCTCTTTCCCCCCCCCCTCCCTCCCTCTCTCCCTCTCTGCTTGTCTCTCTTTCAGCCATTTTTGTTGTCATGTCTTTTTTTATTTTTTTTTTTTTTTTTTTTTTTTTTTTTTTTGGCTGTGTTGGATTTCAACTCTGACTTTCTGCGCTTATTTGTACTTTGCACTTGCGTTGGTCATCATCACGCATCTCGCCTGCACAGACCACGAATAATAATTCATAAACAACCATCGATTGTCGTCAAGCACACAAGGATCACTGCTGCTGCGATGACGACCTTGATTGCAACGTTCGGGATTGGCGCGACGACAGTCACTCTGTCGCTGCGAAAGGGCGATATCACCACTTGGTCTGGAGATGTCGTCGTCAACGCCGCCAATCGGCAGCTGAGCGGAGGGTCTGGCGGGCTGAATGGCGCCATCCACAAGGCAGGCGGCGAAACACTCACTCGTGCGTGCCAAGCGCTCCAGGCCGACGGGGCAGGAGTTCGCTGTCCGACTGGGTCGGCCGTGTTTACAGGGGGCCCGTTCTCGTCTGGCCTCGGAGCCCAGCACGTCATTCATGCCGTTGGTCCAGACATGAACGATTCATCCATCCGTGAGAAGGGGCATGATTTGTTGCAAAACACCATTCTCAGTGCTCTTCGTCTGGCCGAGCAGCACGGCTGCACGTCCATTGCCATCCCAGCCATCTCCTGCGGGAACTTTGGGTTTGATGCAGTCCTCGCTGCGACCTTGGCCATTGACGCTTGCGTCAACTTTGTCACCAACCCGCAGCCTGCTACTCTCAAATCAATCGAGTTTGTCCTGTTTGAGCAAGCTCACGTGGATTGCTGGCACAAAGCTCTGACTCGCGAGCCAAGCTTGCACAAGCTGGCTACCGTCGTGGCGTCGCCAGCAGCCGCCACAGCACTGCCGCCTCCTTCGCCAAAGCGCTTTGTGTACCGAACGCGTCCCAGTGGCGATGAGCGGTCGTTTCGGGCATCCTCGAGCTCCGCCTCGTCGAGCCCATCCTCGAGCCCATCCCCGAGCCCATCCTTGAGCCCGACGCGTCGAGCAAGTTCCGCAAATCGACCGCGCTCGTCCTCAGAGTTTATGCCACCCGAGATGATGAGCCGTGCTGATGCAAGCGAGGTGGTCACGCGGCCGACACGGTCCCCGCAAGACCTCGCCCAAGCCATTAGGCAGCACCTGACACTTCTGGAAGCCAGCAAAGCGGCCGCCAAACGTGACCTTGCTTCACACTCAACTCCTGCGCCCGAAGTGCCGCATTACTCGTCTCTTCAACTGGACGGCTCTTTGTTTGTACTGCAGCCTGGCACACCCGAGTACGAGGAGATTGCCAAACTGATGCACAACAGAGCTCCCATCAAACGCATTAAACGAGTGAACAATCCCGGCCGTGCTGCTCGATTTGCCGCATACAAGGAGTCGCTACCGCTCAACTTGCAGACAGAGCACCGTACCTTGCATGGCACACCGTCAATTGCAAATGCGAATGTTATTGCTCGAACCGGTCCGCGCTTGGACATGGCGGGCGAGGCCAACGCTCGAGTTCACGGCGAGGCCTTCTACACAGCAGAGGACAGCGCGACTCCCATCCATTATGCCACCACACAGCGAGATGGCGTTTTGCGAGGCGGAGTCTGCGTTTGCAAAGTCGTCCCGGGGAATGCCCTTGCGGTTCTCCAAAGTCAAGGCGTGGCTTCGCGCACCGCGGCCGACCTGCTGGCCATGTCCCCTCCACGTCATAGTGTGCATGTCACCGACAACAAGTGGCGAATCATGTTCCATCCCGATGCAGTGCGTGTCGACTATATCATTGATTATGCCGACGATCCTTCGGTTGCCACCCTGGAGCAAATGCAGCAAACCAAGCACAAGGCGCTCGTAGCTGAGCGCGATACTAAGGAGATGGTCCGCCTCCAGGCGCTTCAGCGCGCAAATTCTGCACTCAAGATGCACGAGCTTTTCGCAAAGGCCTGCAATCTCTATCAAGACCCCAACTCTGGATCCGTGGTACAGCTGGACAAGCTCTTTGACATTGAAACCCAGCAGCACAAGCTCATGTTGCCTGTGTACGAGCACAAGCAAGAGTTCCTCGACCAAATTCGCACCGCTCAGGCTCTCGTCGTCAAGGGCGATGTGCCATCTGGCAAGGCAGTCTTGGTTCCGCAGTGGCTCTACGACCACTTGCTGTTCCTGACCGACCCGGCGGCGAGTGTGGCGGTGCTGGTGTCTCAGCGGTCGACTGCTGAAGATTTGGCCAAGCAGGTAGCCAAGATGCGCGGGTGCCAAGTCGGCCAGGAGGTTGGCATGGGCACAACCGAGGTTGTCAATATTGGACCTGACACGCGCATCTGCTTCATGACGTATGACTTTTTCCGCGCCATCTCCAGGTCGGGCAATGACGTGTCCAAGTGGCGCATGGTGGTGCTTGACGAGATGGATGAGCACAACGCCGACGCTGCTCATTTGCTCCAAAACCTCAGCAACGCCTTGAAGGAACGCCAAGAGTTCAAGGTGATTGTCATGGGCGCCGCAATGTCGAATCCGTTTGTTTCCACAGTGCAACGGCAGACGCGATCCGCTTGCCCCATCCTCACCATTCCCGACATGGTCTTCCCCGTGGAGCCCGAGTTTATGACTGAAGCCAGCTGGGATCCCAACGCCAGTGGTGCCTTGCAAAGTCTGTGCTACAACGTGCTGTGCATTTACAATGCAGAGCCAGGCAACCTGCTCGTGTTCTTGCCCACAATGGATGATGTCAATGACGCCGCTGGCTACATGCAAAGTCTCCTGGCTCACGACACGAACGTTCTGATTAAGCCCTTGCACGCCAAGCTCGGTGACGATGCCAAGCGCGAGCTGGCCAATTTCGATGCTCAGCAGCCAGGCAAACGGCTGGTGTTCTTGGCAACGGACGTGGCCGAAACTGGCATCAGTTTGCCAAACATTGCCATTGTTGTCGACACTGGTCGCGAGGAAGATGTCGACTACGACGCAGAATTGAGCTTTTCGCAGTCCAAGCTTGGCTGGATTTCAAAGGCCGTCCATATGCAGCGCCGCCGATTTGCAGGCCGCACGGGTCCTGGTCGATGCTACTGCATGTTCACCGAGAAGGATTTCAAGAATTCCATGCCAGCGACGGCTACTCCCATCGCTCATCGCGACAAAATGGACTCGTTCTACCTCGGCATGGTGTTTGCCAAAATGAATCCCATGGCTGCACAGCATTCGACCGAGACCATGTCGCGCTTGAAAGCCGCCGAGGACAGTCTGGTCCAACTCGGGTGCATTGAAAAGTCGTCGAGCGGAGCTATGACCATCACCAGCTTTGGCTCGTTCGTGCATCGCATGCGGCTGCCATTCAAGGAGGCTCGCTGTGTGCTGATGGCTTCCAAGCCGCCGTTCGAGTGCTCACGCCTCATGGCCATCATTTTCTGCATGCAACACGCCGCTGAAGCGACCGAGCTATTCCTCAGCAGACCCAAGCTTCTGCGCACCGAGCTCCTCGACGACGCTGCCAAGCACGGTGATCATGTGACGCTTTGGTCCATTTTTGCAGCGTGGCAACGAAATCACAAAAGTCCCACGTGGTGCCAAGAGCGAGGCTTGAATTTGAAGACGCTCACCGCGGCCGACATGATGCTGAAGCAGCTGAGCGCAGAGATGGGCCAAGCTGCTTCTGGCTTGCTGGTCGAACCCAATTCCAAGGAGGACAAACCGTTGCTCATCAAGAAGGTCTTGTGCGAAGCTTTCTCGTCCCATCGTGCTGACGCTCGCGGCGTTAGAGTGAGCGATGGGTACTCAATTGCAGGCGTAGCTGGTCACACGCATGTACCGACCACATCGTGCTTGCCCCAAGACGAGTCAGCCCCTTTGATTGTCTTCCAGTCTCGCTCGCGCGACACCCGCAACCGGAGCCATTTCAAGCACGTTACTGTTGTGGAGGCGAGCATGTTCCAACCTTCCTCCGCCGCCAGTCGTGCTTCCGTGTCGTTTTCGGCTGACGACTTTGAATTGCATGTGCAATCGGTCGCGAATACATCCCGTGTCGAAGGGTCGGTGCAGATTGAAGTCGAAAAAGCCATCCTGATCCCCTCGTACGAGTTTATCATTCAGCAGCTTCAACTCGAATTGCCGGGCTGCGAGCTGGAGTTTCGCCAGCAGCCAAACAAGCGGCACAGCTCGGTTGTCTTCCATTGCCTGCCAAACGAGACCGAAACGGTCAAGAGGCGGATTAAGCAAGCTGTGGCACTGGTCACGATGAAGCAAAAGTCTGTGGCTGTCACTGCCACCGTGCTGCAGCAGTACTTTTCTAAGGAGACACACGCCGTCAACGAGAAGGGAACAAGCATTCAGGACGCGATGCAGGACAAGTTTGGCCCGCACACCAAGTTGCACGCCAACTTTGCCAACAGTTCTGTGACCATGCTTGTCCAAGGTGTAGCTGAGCAGTATGCCGAGGACGCCCTGCGCAAGCTGTTTGGGCTGCCTCCACCCCGTGCCACCACCGTGCCGTCATCACGCGGGAGCTCTCCCACGGCTTCTGCTGCTGCTGCTGCTGCTGCTGCTGCTTCTGCATCATCCCCGAGTTTGCCGGCGGGCGCAGGTGCACACATCGCACATTCTGCCTTCAGCAATCCCAGACTCCGTCTTCAACAAGAGGAATTGCGCGTTGCGACGCTTCTTTCCCCGAGCAGCACTCGTCAGGACATTGAGGCTCGGTTTGGGTCTGGAGTCGAGGGCACGCTCATTTTCTTTGCGCACTGGATGACCCACTCGACAGAAATGTGGATTTATGGCGGGTTTATTCGTGACGTCTTGTACGGCAAAGGAGCACATCCCGAGTTGGATTTGGATGTCGGGATGCCCAAAGGGGGCAGGCTCGGCGTCGATCAGGCGTATGACATGGTCTGCAACTTTGCCGCGCAGCAGCGCATCACCCAAACCCGGGTCCCTTTCGACAAGAAGGGGGAGAAGGGCCCTGCCATTCGAGTGGTTGGCTTCAAGTCCTTTGACGGGAATTTCGACTGCTCGATTGAGCTTGTCAACACGGAAATGTTCTTCTTCCGCAAAGGCGCGGACGGCAAGACTCGCGATGATCGTCGCGTAGACTTTGATGTCAACAATCTGCGCGTGTGCCGAAGCCCCAGCCCAGGACAACCCGCAACCATTGCCCTGAAATTCCCAGACCAGCCACCCGACGGCACGGTCGAGCAAATCTGCGAGAACATTCGTCAGCGTCGACTGGTGGTGCTCAAGTCCGCGAACGAGGTTGCCGTTCGCATCGACAAGATGCGGAACCGCGACTGGCTGATTACGTTTTGAGCGAGAGAAAGAGAGAGAGAGAGAGAAAGAGAGAGAGAGAGAGAGAGAGAGAAAGAGAGCGACGTTTGTGTTTCTGTTCGTTGCTGTGTAGTTGAGCGAATACACGCTGTATTCTTCGTGCCACAGCTTCGTGCTTGAGCCTTTGTTAAAATTGTTGTAGCTTGGGTTTACACAGCGGCATTCTGATGCGTTTTTGGTGAAATTTTAGTTTCGTGGGTTTGATCGCTTGCCATAAACTCCCCGACACAAGCTCGGCGAATCGGTGCCGCACATTCACACCATTTTCGTCTGGGGTTGGTTGTGCGAGTGCAGCGGCAATTCTGAGCAATTCTGAGCGATCTTTTCTTGGGTTTGAGCAGGATTCACAAACACACAAACGCAGTGCCATTTTCTCTGCCTGATTCGTGCGTGGTTTATGCAGTCCATTTCTTTGGCTTGTTGGATTTTTCTTCACTTCCCTTTTTCTTTGTGATTTAGCGAACCACGTTTCTGCACGTTCCTCTTTTGACGTGCGGCACACATTCACACACGTTCGGTGTACGTCGCTCTACGTCTCTGCCGTAAACCGCTTCCCCCTCCCCTCACCTGGATGGTCTTTGGTTTTGCAGTGCTTGCAGCGCGTCGTGTGTGTGTGCCTCGCTTCCTCTCTCTCTCTCTCTCTCTCTCTCTCTTCAATTGGAAGAACAGAAAGAAGCGAACGTGGTGACGAGCGACAGACCGCTGACAGCTGCGACGCTCCTTGTTTGGCGTTCTGTGTTCTGGCGGTTTTTTGCCCTTCTTTTTATTGTTTGATTGAACTTGCAAAGGCGACTGGTGCGGCAATGATGAGAAGAACGTGGCTGAATGAACAGTGTTTGACATGCACAAGTGAGGCGAGCACCCGAGGGGAGGGAGGAAGCGGGGTTGTGGGGTTGTTGGGGAGAACGGGTTGGAACCGCACAATTCGCGTGTGGGTCGGAGTTGAGTTCGTTCCGTTCCAATGGCAGTTCTTTCTCTCTCTCTCTCGTTCTCGGTCCGTGTTGCGCGTTGCTTGCTCGTCGTGTGCATTGTACTGTGCAATGCAGTCAATCAAACGCAAGTGCCACTCGTACACGTCTCAAAGCGAGCGGGGGTTGAAAACCGACAAAAAAAAAAACCTGGTTCGATGACGGCCTGTCTGCCCTGTTTTTTGAGCGTTCTGATACGTCGCACTACGTCGCACTACGTCGCACTACGTCGCACACACACACACACACACACTTGATGTATTGATGTATAATACATACACACGTACAGCACGTCTCTGAGCGACGTTTGTCCCCCCACGATTGATTTTGGTCGTCGTCTCGCATGTGCTGCCTTCCCAATGTGAATGATTGTCACGCTTCGACCGAACGCTTCGCTTCGACCGCGCTTCGATGCTCGCAAACAAAACGCGTCAAACTCGTCGATTGCTTGTCACCTGCAAGAATGAATGCTCACTCTGTGCTGCTGAATTCTGCAGTCATCATCATCAAAGCGGCACAAAAGTCCCAACAGCGAGACGTAGCCCGATCAACCACCACCCCGCCCGCTTCCAACTCGACGTCCCGTTGCGCAAAAACCCAATCCGACAGCACCGTCAAAACCATCACCAGCATTTCGCACAAACAAATGACCAAGCAAAGACGACACTTGCTCTCGTCGCTCGACCTCGGTCTGTCTCTTACGTCAGAGCAGGGCCAGCATGGGCTACTCGCCAACCAGAGTCCCAGTCCAAGTCCCAGTCCCAGCCCCAGTCCGAGTCCCACTTCCACTCCAAGGAGCCACACTTCAACTGCTGCTACTGCTGCTACGCCTTACGCTGCCAATGCGGCACCAGCGAGCTCGGGTCGCTCGGAGGACGGATTGTCGGCGCTTTTGGCGGTTTCGGGCATGGGTGGATGTTCTTCACGTCCTACGTCCGACGCTTATTCCCCTCAGCAGCACGCCGCGATGGCCACATCCAGCAATACAGCAAGCAGCAGCAGCAACCTACGAGTGCCAGACAGCGCTCATTCGTCGTCGTCCGTCAACGCTGCTGCGCTGCCAGTGTTTGCCTTCTTCCCCGCCAACGAGGATGACCACCGCATGTCCCCAAAACCCACAAACACGCCCGCACCAGCTCACCAGCAACCAGTGCAAACAACACTGACACTCAGCCAAGCCGGCCTCAGCCCGAATCCGAGCGGAACACGCAACCGGCGGTCGTCCATCTCGTCCATTTCGTCCCTGCTCGATTTGGTCATGGACGGCGCGAGCGACTCGAGCGCGTTGGTCGCATTGCACTCCTTCCCCATGGACGCATCGCCGCGACCAGCAGCATTGGACGCATCGCATCGCAAGCATTTTACCTTTGACGAGGCGCATTCGGCTTCGGCAAACAGCCACCACACATTTGACATTGTTGTGATGGATCACAATGGTCCGATCCAGAGCACGTCGTCGTCGATGATGATGCAAACGCCCGCAACCTACACTGCTCTCCGACCAGAGTCGCCACTGCCACACACTTCCGGTGGCGTTAACCACTTTTCCGGATTGCAGCCCATGCCGTACTCGGACCTGGAGGGTGCGCACGTTGCTTCCGACAACCAGGACAATCGGTACAACGGCACGGAGGCCATTCTGCACGCAGACCGCGAAGCGGACTCTGCCGCGCACCAAAAGGGCAACGCGGACCAGGCAACCAGCGCTGATGCTCCAACCGATGCTGGGGCTCATTCGTGGCGCACACTACTCCTCGGCTACTTGGTCTTGTTTATCGCTCTCTTGTCAGTCTCGTCGCTGGGCGCAGCTCAACTCTATCTCGAGGGTGTGCAGCCCGTGCTGAGCGGCACCTGGCGGTTGCAGGCCGCTGTCGTCTTTTTGCTGCCAATGTGCCTCATCCAGCTCACTCGCGTCACGCCGGCCGAGCGCGTTGCCATCTTGGAGAAGAAGAACATTCTCCTCTGCGTCGGCCTGGCCGTCGCGCTGTTTGTTTGGGTGGCCACCTTTTACGTGGCCCTTGGCTTTACCTCGCTTGCGCATGCCTACCTGTTCAACAACCTGCACTCGGCAACACTGATCATTTACCGCTTGGTCCGCAGGCAGCGCGTCCTGCCCCTCGAGATCTTGGGCACGCTGCTGGCCTTCCTCGGCGGTGGTTTGACGCTCGTGAAGGCGAGTGGTGGGCCAGACGCAAACTCTGTGCTGATTGGCGATGGCATTGCGCTGCTCGGCTCCCTTGGCGGTCTGCTGTACTTTGCGTACGCCAAGCAGCTCCGTTCCGCCGTCCCGCTTTACATTTACATGCTGCCCGTGACCTTTTTGAACATGACCCTCAACCTGTGTCTCTCGTTTGCCATCGAAGACACGAGCTTTACCGCCTCCTCTGTCAGCCAGCAGCCGTTTGGCTGGCTGTCGGCGCAGTGGATTTGGGGAGGCGTGTATCTCGGCTTGGTGACGGTCGTGCTGGGCATGGTCTTGTACGTGGCCTTGCTCAAGATTCTCCCGCCGCTCGTCATCTCGCTCGTCATGCTCCTGGAGCCTGTCATTGGCACTGTGATTGGCATTGTCATTGGCGTCCAAGGCATCCCCGACGAGTGGACCATCTCTGGCAGTGTTGTTTTGCTGATTGGCACGGTGGTGGTCACCCTGGCGAACGCCCGCAGCTCTGTTCAGGCCCACCAAAAGCTCAAGCTCCAGGAGGAGCTCGAAAAGAAGCGCGCCCTCGAGATGGAAATGGTCGACCGGGCTGGCGCCGAATCGGACGATTCCAACCGAAGCACCTCCCAGCGGTACGCCTTTGTGCGCCTCGACGAGGAGGAGTATGAGGACGGCACCTCCTCGCGTCTCGGTGATGTCTCTACTGACAACGAGAAGGAGGTTGTAACTGAAGTTCGTGTGTCTCACGCATGAGCCGAGTTTTGTTTGCTTTTTTTGTGTTCATGTTTTTTCATTACACTGGATTTTGCTTTTTGCTTTTTTTTTTTTTTTTTTTTTGGGGGGGGGGGGTTTGTTATTTTTTTTATTTTATTTTTTTTTTCCATTTGCACACCGACTCGTGCATTGTGTGTGAGTGTCTCATTGTGTGCAAGTGAGTGGTGAGTCGATTCGATGGCAGTCGTATTTATTTTGTTGTATTTTATTTTTCCATACAATTTCCATTATTTCGATTGATTCGTGAGTCACATTTTGCCATCTCTCTCCCTCTCTCTCTCTCTCTCTCTCTCTCTCTCTCTCTCTCTCTCTCTCTCTCTATCTCTACCATCATCATCATCATCCACTCAAAGGAGGGCGGGGGG